GAACCATGGATAACGGAGTGCTTGGACGGAATGTTTTGTTGGGGTACTTGGGTCAATTGATGGGTGCTTTAAATTGCTAGTCTTTTTTGCTTTTGTTAACGTAACCTCGTTGTTATGGAAATTTCTCCTCTCCTACTGTCTTCTGTTTAGTTTGTGCTTCATGTGATAAGTCCCAAAGGACAAGTGTCTAGAGAGAATCAAGTGATTAGTCGACGGCTCTGGTGTTGAATCGTACTCGGTGTCATTGCTTTACATACACCGCTGCGTATTGATCTCATCTTCGGATGAAACTGGCAATTCACCACTTCATAAATTTAGACCTCACTTCTCTTGTCACTCGTTATGGCCACTCAGATTGTGCTCAATAGCTAGAATGTGTTAAAACAGATATACATGGAGGTTGTTCCATCATCAAATTCTTGGTCCATCCCGATCGCCAGCCGTAAACGACACGACCGTGCCTAGATATGCAGGGATGAATGTATTTCCAGTAATATCCTTGGAGCGTCAAGTTTTGCAGAGATGAAAGACTGTGTTAGCGTACCAGCAAGATAGCACGTGGTACACCTTTGCGATCGTCACGATGTGCATATAGGTATTAGGTGAAGCGCAAATTCGATTCGTCTGGCCGTCTAAACGCAAACAACATGGAAACAGGATAGGTATATAAGACACAACCTTAAAACAAGACAACATTAAGCTACCACCGGACACACAGAACCGTGGCGACATGATTCGAACCCATATTTTTCTCTCTCTTCCGCCGAACCCAAGAAAAAAAGCCCGGACCAGATCGACAGGACACTCGTCCTTTTTACTCAAAGGTAGTCTTCTTACCCTGGTGAGCAACAGGCGCACCAGTAAGTCTGGCAACACTGATATCCTGAGCCGTCTTGATTTGACCATTACCTCCCTCTTCCCTCTTCTTGTAAGGAACCCTCTGTGGCCTCTCACCACCATCTTGTCCTTGTTTCTTGCCGCCAGCAGCGCCCTTTCCTCGGAACCGCTTGTCGTATCTCGTCTTGTCGTCCTCGGCCAACTCGATCTTGAGGGTGCGGCCATGTAGCTGGTTGACCCACCACTTGCGGGTCTTTATCCTCTTTTCCGTTTCCTTCTTTTCCTTTGTCTTTTCCGCGTCCGCGTTGTCACCATCGTTGGCTTCGGCTTCGGCTTTTTGGTCTTCATCCATAAAGTCCTCCAACTCGGGAATCTCCTCGCGGATCTTGACGAACCCCTTGACCGCCCACTGCGCGGCTTCGCCCTCCTCAAAGTTCACCCACCCGTACCCCTTGCACTTGCCGCTGTCCTCAAACGTGGCCACCTTGACCCACCGGATGGCACCGCACTTGTCAAAGTGGTTGCGCAAGTCGTCCTCGGTGGTGTCGAACGAGAGGTTGCCGACAAAGATCTTGGTCGAGCCGGCGAACTTGCCGCCTACTAGCGCCTCGTCCTTCTTTCCACCAGCAGCAGCGCCCTTGGCATCCCCCTCCTCCTCCTCCTTCTTCTTCTCCGGCCGTCCCTCGAACGACGTCGCGTCCTTGATCAACAACTTGCGCTTGTACCACTCGGTCTCGCTGAGAGCAATGGCGGCGACCTTGGTGGCCAGCGAATCAAAGTCGACGTAGGCGAAACCGCGGTTCTCGGGCTTCTCCTTCTTGGGCTGGCCGGGCTGCGCCTTGGCCGTGGGCATGTGCACGCGCGTGATGGACTCGGGCGTGATGGAGCCGCCGCTGTTGTCGACGAGCCATTGCTTCAGTTCGCTCTTGGTGACGGTGAAGCGCAGGTTGCCGATCCAGACGCCGTGGGGGGACCGTTCCTTCTTTTCCTTCTTCTTCTTCTTGTCGCCGTCCTTGGCGGCGGTTTCGTTATCCGAGTCGTCGGAGTCATCACCCTTGTCGGAGGAGGGCTTGGTAGGGAGGGTCTTGCCTTTCTTGAGCAGACGCTTGGCTTTCTTGGAGGGAGGCTCGGGGGCGGTGACGTCGATTTCGATTTCGGTGAGCTCGGCCTTGCGCTTCTTGGAGGATTTTTTGGGTTTCTCGTCGGAGGAGGCGGCGGCGGCGGCATCGGCGGTGGTGTCCATGGCGTCGACGGTCTCGGCGGACTCGACGGACTCGGCAGGCTCCTCTGTGGCCTTGCGCTTCTTGGAGGATTTATCCTTCTTCTCTTTCTTCTCCTTCTTGGACTTCTTCTCGGAAGCGAGATCGGCGGTGGTGTCCATGGCGTCGATGGGAGCGGACTCCTGCGCGGAGGCGGTTTCGAGGTCTTTTGTTGCTGCCATTCTGGCTGGCTTCAGCGTATCGACCGAGATGGTATCAATAGGCAAGGAGAAAATGTTGAAAACAGCAATGAAATCAAGGGTGTTGATTCCTCGAATTCACAATGTCTACAGAAGGGGGACAGCCGCGCATTGACGCTGAGATTCCCCAATTGCCGGCAGCACAAGATTTTCGAAAATTTACTTTGCGATAAGCGAAGCGATAAGGAAGGGGTCACTGTTCCTCGCTCCAGTTGCGGGTCCGCTTTCTGGTCAGGTCTCCATCGCGCAAAATGCGGGGGAGCGGGCGGGACCTACCTTCAACCTCCACTTTCGGGTTCTCCACCCATACCCCTCTGAATCTCGTGCCAAATTTGCAAGAGCCGCCATCTTTTCAGATCTCCCGCCGTCATTTCATGATGGGACTTGCCCTTTGCATGATTGCCCCTTTTTAATGCGATGTCCATGGGCCCTATCTTTGGGTGTCAAACGTGTCTTGCTCCGATGGCAGGCCTTGAAGTGCAGCCGTACTTAGGTAGGCAAGGTAGGTACGAGACCAGCGTGCAGAATATTGCTGGAGTATGGTACAGTACACGTACTTTTGTACATTGGTTGCAAATGGATGGAATACCTATTTCCCCGACAATGACAGCCCACAGCACCGCGCAATGAGCCAAATGTAGCCACGAGCACAAGTCGATGATGCCAATATGCGGACTTGGCCCCTCTTCCACTTCATCAATGCCAGGATGTCCCTTGCCATGAATAATAGCTCATGGTGTGTTGTAGAGTACCTTTAGTAGACAGGTCTGCCAGACTCATCCATACTACTGAGCAGTGTACTTGTTGGGTTCTTGGAAGACGGTTGGACAAATTACTTTGCAGAGAGTCTCTTGGCCCGTATAGCGACCCTGAGCTATACAAAGCTGGACAGTCACTCCCGATGAAAGGATAGCAGATCCTTCGGAAGTTGTTCCAGAGTGCTGGTCATTAAAGTCCCGCAGAATCGAAACGGAAACGACATGAGCGTGTTGCTGACGTTGCTCGAATCAACCCCCCGAAGCTTTGATCCGGATCGAGCGAATCGTCAAGGGAGCTGATCGGGTGGGCAGGTGGGCCACGCGGCCTCAATGTCGGTCCATCATGTCGCCAAGCGCAAGGGCCAGGAACAGAGGCAGTGTTGGCAAACGCCTGTCTAAAACACCCACTGCAGGCCGAGAGGATGCGGAAAAGCCAACAATGGTTTTTCCAAGGTCCTTGGTGCTGACGGTACAGCGGTTGGTAGCGCTGTACACTACATACCGTTGACGGCCTGTCGCGGTCGCTTAACAAAGTCTCATCGTTTTGCGTTTGATGACCGGAAAAGTGGAGGTAATTGGTACCCGAAACCATCTTTTTGGGGCCTCACGTGCCGAGAACCACCGATAGGGCTTGGCGAGATCTGGCGGCCTTGAAAAGAAGAAAAAAAAAAAAACCGACAAAAGGTCCTCAAAGACTCCACCGGTCCACGTCGTACGTGTACACTACTTTTTTTTGGCCTCGGAAATGTCCTCACAAGCATGAATTCATTGGCAGCTAGTCTGAACAGGCTCTGGAGCTTCTCTCTTCCTACATACATAGCAACGCCTCATTGCTTGGGCTTGCAGGCCGGCTTGTCTTGACCGCTTGACATCTTTCAAATGGTTCGTCGTCTCGGAGTTTGATGCATGCATGCACTTAAACATTCTGGTAGGGGTCTGCGAAGTACCAACCACAATCGGTTTTGTCAGGGGACTAGTACTTGATGCGGTTAGTATGGCCAAAGACCAAACAGCTAATAGCCTCTCCCGGTTAGCCACCACCATGTTGGCCACATGGACTCCCTCGACAAAACGGGCCCTGGGCCAGCTGTGGTGAGTGGACTGGGCGGACCATGAAAATCGACATCCACTCTTTTTGTTTTGCCCGTCGCCGCCCTTGCTAGGTAAAAGTTCCTTGCGAATGCAAAGGGTCGCTGCTTGCTTGCTGGTGCTGGTGCTGCTCCTCCCTTCCGATACACACCACTGGTTGACAGTCCCGACATCACCAATCGGCGTAAAAGCTGCTCAGACCTTGAAGAGGCCCAGCCAACCGTTGTTTCCGCTGGCAGACACTGGCCTCCGCAGGACACCACCTGGACACCACACACATCACACGCTGACTGGTCACTCATCACCACTGCTTGCCAGGACCGGGACGCCAGTGAGAACCAGGGAATGAGCCACTGGGAGGCTCAAGCGAAGGTCAAGCGGATGCGCTTTTGTTGTTGGCCTCAGCTTGGTTGGTCGCTTTTGGCTTCTCCGCTGGCTGCATTGCCATTGAGAGGGAGCACCTTTTCCCTCTGCGCATTCCTCCTCCACTCACAGTCCTTCATTCGTCGCAATCCCGTCGCAAATCCGTGCAACCTTCAGTTGTGGTGCAGAGAGAAAAAGGCTCCTCACTTTCGGTCGTTTCTTCAGAGCCAAGAACGTCCAAGTGAAAAAAAAAATCTCCACCAGCCATTGGCATCGCACTGTGAACTGGAAAAGCAGTCCAAGTAAGTACTAGTGCTGGTCTGACTGCGCGGGCCCTGCCTGCCATTCGCAAGAGTTCGCTCCATTCAGTTCTTCTCAACTCGCCATTCTGCGCTTCCCTTGACCTGCTTCCACCCTTCCTTTCATTTCTGCTAGTCTTTCTTCTCTTCCTTGACTCGCATTTCTTCGTTGCGACTCGCAACACTCGCAACTTAAAAAATTAAAATAAAAGCGAGCGGTCTGACGCCGGCTGCTCCCTCTCACTTTTTCAGCCTCAGATCGCCTGGCTTCTTCCACCGCCGTCGACCCGTCATCCATCCGCATCGTCGTCGTTCTCCTATTTGCGTCGGCAGCGCCACGCAACGCTATACCGCCAAACCGAGCATTGTTTTCAATCCCACAATGAACGTGCTCCTATCGCCGCAGCCGCCCTTCTTCCCTCATCAACACGAACCCTCTCGCCGCTCGCCGCCTAGAATAAGTAGGTTGTTGCTGCTTATCTGTCATTGTATCCCAGCGTGCATCCAGCACTGCTGGTACAAGATTTGAAATTTACTACAGGCTTACTAACATCTTTTTGCCAGTGTCGCAACACACCATGGCGTCCAGGAAAAGAAAAGCCGACGACGATGACAACGAAATGTCGATATCGCCGACCGGCTCGCCCGCAATCAACTCGCGGCAGCTCTCGAGGCCATCCAAGAAGGTCAGGGCTGGAATCGAACTTGCAGGACGTCCGCTGCCTCTTCCTCGCCTTCTCGAAACTCTCGACAAGTCACAGTTGCGAGCTGTCCTCCAGACGATTTGCGAGCGTCATCCGGGCATTGGACATGAGGTGATGGTTTCTGCACCGCGGCCGTCAGTCAACGGAGCCCTCGAGGTTTTGGGCGAATACCAGGACAAGCTACGGGCCGCCATTCCTTTCGGCAACTCGAGTTCCGAATACACCTACTTCCGAGTCAAGCAGCCGCTCATGGCGTTGGTGGATGCTCTCGGCGACTTCACCCCCCAGTTCCTGCCGCCGGTTGAGCAGCAGACGACCGTGTCGTTGGAGTACCTGAACCATGCAACAAAGATCATTCACGACCTACCCGATTTCGACAGCCAGCAGTATCGCCACCACAAGGACGGAGCGTACGACGAGATATCCAGAGCGTGGGCGTTGGTGATCACGGAAGCGGCCAAGCGCGGAGGAGGCTTCCACTTGCACAACGGAAAGTGGGATCAGGTTCTGGCTAAGCACAACCAGCAGTCCGGAGGAAAGCTAGAGCAGGCCATGAACGCAATGGTCAACGAGGTTGGATGGGTCGGCGCGAACTCGAATGCCCATGGGCAGGGTTCTTCTTCGGACCCCAACTCGATACTCAACCAGCTCATCAACGGCACATATGGCGCACCTGTCCAAGTTGGTCCCTTCTAGAACAGGCGACGACATGAAAATAGAAGTGCGCCATGACTTTGGTAATTATACGGATACTCATGGGACTGGGAGGATAAGCAAAGCGGACATCAAGGTCGATTGCATCATGGTTTCTTTTGTCGTTCACTTTTTCAACGTTCAGGGCATTGTTTGGGGCGAATGGGGAAGGATGACATAGACAGGCGTGGGTTACTTGCGGGGATCATTGTTTACAAGGCGTTGGCGTGTTGGCTTCCTGAATGCTGTTGTTTCTTGCCTTCATTGTTGTCTTTCTGGCCACATCTCACTGGCACAAGATACCTCTTTCCTACCGGCTGTCTCTCGTTCTAGGGGAACGACTTGTTCGTCACTTGCATGTACGCAATCTTTAGCATATTCTTGCCGAGGTCGGAAGTTTGGAGCATGGGTGTAACCAACCATCACTACCATATTCATTCCACCATAGCTACGCAATTGGTAAAACGGAATCTCGGATAACACAGTATGCCTGGCGGGTGACTTGGTGTAGATACCCGTACACCCGTAACACGTCCCGGGTTCATTGGGTGTATCCCGAGGTAATTCTAGCGGTTTGTTGGGATTAATCAAACTCGCCTTGCATCTTGATTGATTCTGTGGTCCAAGCAAGCCGTTTCCAGCGATGAAGTTGGAAGTGTCCGGATAATGACGGGAGTCCAAACGCGTAATCCGAATGATCATATCTGTCCTTGAAGTGCCATCTTGTTCACAGAGACCAAAGCAACGCTGCCTCTCGTAATGAAGTCCCTTGCATATTTGCTCCAACACGGACAGTGGCGGCTCCCTTTAGAACCACGTACAACGAGTTGAGATATGGAATGGCCATCATGGAATGAATAGATATGGAGGCATGACTAAGCTGGACGGAACGTGAAGGACAACTGAAGTGGAGTTCCCTCCGACTGTGTGACGGGATGACAAGAGAAAGGCCTAAAAGTTGGTGAGGTCACCACCTAGAGCCCCACCGGCCAGGGGCGGGTGTTAGGCAGACGCCACTAGTGCCCCCACGTGATAACGCACTCTGAGCGCGCCTGCCCAATCTACACAGCGCGTCTTGTCGTTCTTGCCTTGATCCATCACTGCATGCTTCGCGACGTTTGCTTTGGGAAAGTCACAAATTTCTAAATACTTTCTCCCTTCAACACGTCGATTCCATTCCCCTCCCGCTGGGATCCCACTGCGAACGACTCGCAAACCACCAGCCTTGAGGCTGCTCTGCTAGACAAGATGCCTGCGTATGTTTACCTCTGCTATCGACCTGTGTCAACCGCGTCTCCCGCGGCCTTCCAGCAACCGAGACCCTCATTAACACTTTAAACAGAGTCGGCGACCAACATAAAATTATCACCAACCCGTTCGAGGAGCCACAACGGCGAATCAGCGAGTACACAGCCCAAGAGATTGCCACACTACAGAGCCGTCTCGAGAAACAACTAGGACCCGAGTACCTGTCGAGCCGCGCCGGCCCATCAGGCCAAAAAGTCCACTACATCTCGTCAGAAAAATGCATCCAACTTGCGAACGAGGTCTTCGGCTTCAACGGCTGGTCCTCCAGCATCCAGAATATTCAGGTTGATTTTGTCGATGAGCATCCTCAAACGCTGAAAATCAACATGGGCATTTCGGTTATTATGCGAGTCACCCTACGCGACGGAACGTATCACGAGGATCTTGGCTACGGCCATATCGAGAACTGTAAGGGCAAGGCGGCTGCTTTTGAGAAGGCCAAGAAGGAAGCCACGACGGATGCATTGAAGCGCGCGCTGCGCCAATTTGGCAATGTGCTAGGCAACTGTATCTACGACAAGCAATACTTGGCCAAGGTCACCAAGATGAAGGTCGAGCCAACCAAGTTTGCCGAGGATAACCTACATCGGCACTCAGATTTCGTCAAGAAGGAGCCGGTTGAGGCAGATATCATGAAGGTTGACTCAATTGGGGCTGGCGCTCGTCCACCAGCCTTGGGAAACGAGGAGTCTTTTGAGGATTTGCTCGGAGGTAAGGCCACTTGTGCACTATTTTTTGGTGGGCTCGGCTGATGATGACTAGAACTCGATGAGGCGGACTTCAACATGGCCGATGAGGGTCATCCGGATGAAGTCGTGCTACCACAATCCGTGCACAACAGCTTGAACGACAAACCTGTACATCAGCAACTGACCAATCTTAACCCACAAGCACAACAGTCTCGACCTCTGACACGATCAGGGTCAACAGGCAGCCTGAACACCCGGCAACAACCACAGACTTCCAACCAATTCACGGCGAGGGCCCAAAGTCGGCCTCCACAACAGCAGTCTAATAGCAACCAAAGTCGCCCTATGGGTCAACCGGTCAACAATTCCAGCAATGCAAACACTTCCAACAACCCCCAGAACTACACAACACCACAGAAGCCTGCTCCTGCCGCTCCTGCTCCCCAAGCAGGTGCAGCTGTAGCTCCCGCACCAGAAACCGTTGGCTTCTTCTCCGCTAAGGCTGTGACCCAACTTCCGGAGGAGGCATTGGCTAGTGGCCAAGTCGCGCCGAAACCTGGTCTAGCATTCAACCCTCACGCCGAAAGTCCGTCCATCCGCAAGACGCCTGGCATCGATCATACCAAGTCTAAACCATTAGCCAGAAACGGTCAGCACGTCCCTCCAGCCAAGACAACCGAGACAGAAGCTGAACCAAGCACATCGTTCTCAAGACCTGCGGGAGCTCATGCGGCATCACGACCAGTCACGATGAACGAGGCACGCTCAGCATCGGGAAGCTTCTCCCGAGGCGGGCCACCGATGGGTGGTAATGCCGGAAATATGGGCAAGCCCAACGTCGTCAACCCCCAACTCGATCATACAAGGCGGATTGGCGCGCCAGGCATGAGCGGTTTCTCTAGCAGTCCCAGTACCAACAGGGGCCAGTATCGGCCGTTGACAATGAAAAGGCCTGCTACTGTTATGGGAGGGGGTGCAGGTCAGACCAAGGATGGTAATGGTGATAGTGCGGCGACGACAACGACAGCGGCGAATACAACAGCAGGGTCGGCGACGGGAGGTAATGCAGCTCCTTCTGCTGGTAATGGTGGGAGAGTACCGTTGACTGACATGACGGCTAATGCGTCGAATGCTACCGCAGCGGGGGCCGCTACTAGTGGGCCGGAGGTTAAGAGGCAGAGGCTGGCTTAGATTGAAGGAAAGGATGGTATTGGCAGGCAAGAGGTCTATGGATACAGTCTCTACTTCGGATGAGCAGCTCGTTGGTATGGTTGTGTAAGGCGTTCATGGCGTTTTTTGGGGCGGGCGAACATCACTCGCAGAATCTATGGATGGCTCGTCTTCTCTCTCACGGATCTTCGGGGAACAAGAGTAGTGGGGCTTATGAGAGGCACTCCCGTCTGCGGAATGATATATATTCTGCGGCGAATCTCTGTGAGAGGATTAATGCTTTGTGGCATCTTGGGAATGTAAGATAACCAAGACTCAGACTCGTAATAACTTCGAAGGCGCATCTTTTCATGAGACAGTTTAGACTACATGGTTTATATATCCATTACCATAACGTGCAACAATGTCGGTACCTCAACATGTGACATCCATGATCATTAACAACCACCAATGTAGAAGCGATTTCCGCTCTGACCTCTCCAACCAACCTTCAGAACGAGATGTGCTGCTTTCCCCGTGCCTACTCTTCAAAGAAGGAAAATCTTGTCATGAAGCCTGTTCCATCTCACCAGGCAATTACTGATACTGCTACTGATATCGGTATGTAGTGCCCTGTAATGCATTAACCAACTAGTTGCGCACCAAGGTACGAGGTACATATACCAATCTTCCCGCTCCTTCCTTCCGAGGAACTCATGGGGGCTCCTATATGGGTCGCAGGTGTAGTGGTTTCATCCACTGCCCTGGAGCTTATAACTCGGGAGCACATGGGTTCACTCCTCATTTCGAGCAGGTAACAACAATCCTTTTCTCCATTTCCCTTCGCTCCGCCTCTCCCCACCGTCCATCCTTTTTTTTTTTTTCTGGACTGGGTTGAGGTGGTGCATGGTTGATACCGATTTCCTTTTATGGCAATGCTTAGTACTTACTCATCCAGTATCCCTCCCAACATGGCCTTTTTTTGCCGCCTTATTAAAGCAGACATGGTACTTCACTCAGTACTATTTGTGGAAGGCTCTACCAACAAGAAGAAATTCGGGCAAAATTCCTCGTACAGATTTCACGGAAAGTTGATTGCTCTTGTTCTTTTTCTCGATCCGGACTCGGACTTCACGAACTAAGTTGTTTTGAAGAGAAAACTGTTGTTGGTGAACAGGTAGTAGGTACACTCAGTCACCTTTTCCGAACCTGTGATAGGAAGGGAGCAATGGTTGATCAAGGCTCGAGCTTCTTCCTCCCGGATACATCGATCAAGGAAGCAATGCAGCAATGCAGCAGGCACAGAAAGTCCAAGTCCAATTTCGAGTTCAAATCAAAACCAGCAGTGCACTATAGCAGTGTAAGGTAAAATGTCTTTTAGTATCAAATTTTGGATTTCACGTCCTTTACCGCACTGGTTTATATAAACCTCGTTATCTAGTAGAACAGGTGTATAGGCTCACAATCCGTCCTTTCAACCAGCATACAGTAGTTTGAATGAAAAAAAGCAGGTAAACTGCCGCCGTTGGTATATCGAAATGCCAAATTATGCCTGCCTGCCTGCCTGCCTGTTCGCCTGCCTGCCTCCTTCCTTCTTCCTCCTGAACGCCGCCATCATGAAAAACTAAGAGAGAAATCCCAACTGCCAAATTGTACAAAAGTGAAGCAAAAAGAAAAAAAACAAAATGCAAAAAGTATGTGCAGTGTAACTGGGTAGTGAAGCTGATATAGGAGCGTATCTTTTGTTGTTAGATACGACCATCAAGCACCGTCTTGGCAATCAAAGGCCAACCGAGGAGGGTACCAGCTACGAGGGGGTAGCTATTTATTATTTTTTTTTCCCAGTCAGTTTCAGTTCTTTCTGTGTTTCTCTTTATGGAAAACAAACTTACACAGCAGCCTGACCAGCGAGTTTCTTAAAGGAAGCACCCCAGTCGGCACCAGCAGCGCCCGTCTCAGTGGGGATGCGCTCGTAGGGGGTGTGCAACTCCATGCGGCGAGCCCATTGGCGCATGGATTGGATGACGGAGAACTGGCGGGTGCCTTTGACGGCGGCGTTGCGAGAAGTGGCCTGAGTGGCAGCGCGGAAGGCGGAGCGGGCGAGGATGGGAGAGACCATTTTGATTATGACTTGGTGTTGTTGTTGTTGTTGTGGTGTGTTTGTGTGATGTTACTCGAAAGGTTTGGAGTGTGAGAGTTGTGGTTTGTGGTGCGATACCGATGTGGTGATTGGTCGAGGAGGAGTGTAAGTTGAGTGGATGTTGTCTTGGTGGTAATGAAGAAGAAGGGATGAGATCTAAGATCTAGGATCTATTGCTTCTTTGATATTGATGCTTGATGCTGATGCTTGATGCTGATGATGGAAGAGAGAAGGTATTACAAACATCGTCGGACACGATCCTCTTATAATACCCAAACTTTCCATCATCCTCTTGCTTACTTTCCGTCTAATTCCTTCAGCAACACCAAAAAGATTTTCCCGCATCGCGATCTTTCCCGAACTTCCCAACTTCCCAACTTGCGGCAAAAGACCCAAAGCGACGGGTCCAGTTCCCAACTAGACGGCACCAAAGGGAATTGGGCCTTGCGTGCAAGTCATCATCTCACCCAAAACCGCCTCATGATGGGCAGATCCTCCATCCAGAATCTCACCACCATCCTCCGACTTCTGTTCGTCCACACGTATAACCCTCCCCAACCCTTATTCGCAATCAGTCCAGATGGGAGAAGCGAACGGCCCAAATCATACCACAGACATTCTAAAACACCAGATGCCAAGCATCCCGACCCCCCCCCCCCCTGTTTCCTTGTTCCCCTGTTCTCCTCCTCTCCTCAGCTACTCAGCCACTCAGCCCTACGAGTTATGTATTGGGGATGATGAACCAATCAGATGAGGTGTAATTGCCCCCTCCCTCCGGATTCTTCCCATGTGACTGCTGAAGGAGGAAAGGATCCAGGCTTTCAGGGCTTTGCAGCGAGAAAATGAGTGAAGGGAGTGAACGATACAGCAAGGGAATGGCACGATTTAGTGCTGAGTCTCGGCTGGTCGTGGTGTGATCGGGGGAGTCCGACTTGCCTTGGTCGAGCTGTGATTGGGTAGTTTACCAAAAAGGGAGTGGGGCGCTGCTGAAAGATGGCGTTGTCTGGCCGTTTTGGATGGGAACAATGCCAAGCGAGTGGGCAGCAGGGGTGGTGATTGGTGCAGTTGGGGAATGAATGGTTCTGGAATGGAAGTGCCTGGATTGTTGTGTGTTGTTGATCCGACGCTGTTTTCTGTTCCTGGGTTTGGGTTTGGGTTGAACCTGGGGATCAGGTGAAACTGTTTTTCAGCTGACCAGCGCTGATAGGCGGGATTCTCCATACTGGCAGGAATAACTTCTCTCCCGGAGTCTGGATGTTTGTTTGTTTTTCCCGGATGGCGCCGGCGGGCGGTCCCTACGTAGCTATACCTAACCATGGGAATGGGAAATGACGAAAACCTAACCCAGATTGTCTCCATGGGACGGTTGCGAATTTTCCCGAAACCAGTACGGCGTATTGCAAAATTGGCGGATACATACATTTTCCGCGCTTGGTGCCGTTTGGCATCTGACAACGAACGAGCACAAGGAATGACAGCTGCAAAGGTCCTTGATTCGGCTACTTCATCGCTGCCATATTCCGGCCCGGGCCTGGCTGGGATCCGAGTCGAGATGCTATGTACGTGCCACGAAACTTTGATCCGAGTTCAAGTCCAGCACTTTAGATTTCCCAACTTGTGAGACCAGGACCGGAAAACTACGGAATGAAGCCATCGTGAGATTTCTCGGCTCTTCCCGGATCGAGCGGAGCCCCGTAACGCGGCAACCGACCACATCCGGTCCCCGAAGCGGAGCCCGTCCAGTACCCGCCGAGCCGCCATGTCGTCGGGGGAGCTCCACACGTCAGCCGATCGCGAACCCGTTAAGCGCGGGACACGGATGTACCCGGAAGACAAACGCAGATGGAGCCGCGGAAGGATACGGCGTGGATTTGCGACTTGAAACTTGAACGAGTCTGAAAGCGGGAGTTAGTTATCCCTTCTTTTGAAATGGTGGGCCCTGGGGGGGCTTGCCAGGAACAGAAAAACATAATATCCTCGTACGATCATCAGCATCTCGTGACCATTTAATACCAAGAGACCTTGCGGGAAGCATCGGGATGAGGAATGAGGGGTATCACAAGATTTTCTTCTGTTTTTTTGTTCGTTTTCTCTCAATGTCTAAGCCGGCTCACTGCCCAATCCCGCTTTTACCAGCCTCTCCTCCATCTCTTACCACCTGATTACCCTATCACGGGAACCACAGGCAACCCCATCCCATCCCATCCTATGGGCATCTAAGGCCTAGTAACCGTAGTCCCATCCGCAGGCTCCAACAGCTCCCAGCGGCAGACAATGTTGTTGGACTTGAACTCCTCAATGATCTTCTGGGCAATAGTCTCAAAGTTTTCCGTCGCCAGCGCCAAGATGGTCGGGCCGGCACCGGACAGGCACACGCCCAAAAGACCGGGCTGCGTGGCGGGCGTCATGGACTCGACGATCTTGGTCAGACCGGGAATCAAAACCTGGCGGTACGGCTGGTGCAGCTTGTCCTGCATGGCCAGGTTGATGAGCTCCGGGTCCGGAGGCGATTGGCCAAGGGCGACGGGGAGGAGGGCTATCCTTTGGAGATTGAAGGTCTAGTTGTAAAAAGTCAGTGGTTTGGTTGGTTGATACTGAGATAAAAGAAGTAGGAAAGACGTACAACATCCGCACGGGGATACTCGGCGGGAAGAACCTCGCGGGCCTTGGCGGTGGGAACCTCGAATTCGGGAATGATGGCCACGGCCTTGATTTCGGGAGCCCAGGGGAACTTGATGTGGTGTCCGATGCCGTGGGGAGGCGAAGGGGGCTTGACGCCCGTGTCGACACCGCCGGCGGGGGCGGGGAGGACCTCACTGAGGGGAATCTCAGTGCGGGCGGTCTCCTCGGGGGTGAGGGGCTTGAGGTAGGTGCCGACAAAGCCACCGAAGAGGGCGGCGCCGACGTTGTCGGGGTGGCGCTCTGCAATTTTTGTCAGTGTTTGTTGCTCAAAGTGAGTGAGAGTATAAGTGACTCACCAATCATGAGGCAGTAGTCAAAAAGACGCTCGGGAGTGAGGTCGTGCAGACCGCCGACCTCCTTGCCGAGCTGGACACCGGCAACGACAGCGGCGCCGGAGGAACCCAGACCTCTTCCAAGGGGGATGGGGTTCTTGATGTGCACATGAGTCTCGACGGGGAAGCTGCGCTGGTCGTTGCAGCGGAGGACATAGAGCGCAACACGGGTAATAAGGTTGACCTCGGGATCCAGGCTGATATCCTCCTCGCCCTGGCCCTCGTAGGTGATGCGGCAGTTCAGCGGCTTGTCCGAAGTCGTCTTGGAGCGGTCGATGGTGACATGGAGCTCCAGGTACATGGACAAGGCCAGGCCGATGACGTCGAAGCCGGGGCCAATGTTGGCGCTCGAGCAGGGCGTCTTGATGACGAACTTTTCCATCTGCTGGGAAGAGGCCATTGTGTCTGGAGTGAACGTGTGGTTTACTACTAGGGGTTGAACCCAGTGGTGATCGTTTCACAGAAAGAAACGAACGGGGGATGGATGAACAGAAGTAAACAATCGGCTTGCCTATGCCAAGAAACACAAATGCTCTCTTTTGTGAGATGCGTCACCTTCACTGAAATTTTGTTGAATTTCAATTGATTTCCATTTCTGGAGGACGGAGTGCTGAGGGTGCCCCCGATTACGGAGCGGAGCCCGGCGGGCAGTGGACAATGACTCCCTCTACAGTGTCCACTTGGCGTTATGGAGCGCTGGGGGCTCCACCTTTTAGGGTTCGATCCACTACTTTAAACCCCTGACTTGTCTGCTTCTTTTCGTTTCAAGTCAACACAGTCATCAAGGTTCTTCTTCGCTCGAGTCAACATCAATGTTACCATAGTAACGAGGACTCATACATCCGACAACAAGTGTTTCGATTGACTAGGGCCAGGTGTTTCGACAGCCACTTATCCTTCGATGAACTTGCTTTGCCTGCGCCAAGATAGGGTGTTCCAAGCGGTACCTATTCAAAGACTTTTAAGGAAAACATGATGCTTGTGATTATACATATCATTTTACGAGTTAATCAAGATCAGTGCGATAAGGATTGCTTGCCGTTCAGCAGTTCACGTTCTAGTCCCAATCTAAAGCTTCGGCGTACAACTTGAAAGGTCTCTCAATGTCTTTTGATCCGACAATTCCTCGAGGTAAATAACGCAACCAGTTTTTGACATTACGGTGTCCCTTGAGGCCAACAGTTCTGAAGCGTTGCAACCAGGCAGAAGACTCCACACTTCGTCCGAATAGAAAGAATCAAGCATCATCTGTCAAGGTTGCTTGACATTTACAAGGCTGAAGAACCCTTTTCGGCCGTTGCTGCAGTTACGGTGCCAAGAAGGCCATGTAAACATCAGCAACCGAGCTTGTGAAATGATTGTTTGCACATGAACATAGTATTGGTCTTTTAGACTTTGTTTCCTGCTTCCTTCCAAGTTTCACAGATCGTGCTGCTACCCGATACTGGTGGCACAGGTGCAGGCCCTCCACAATCTTAAGGTGAATTTCTTTCATCCCTTTCCAAACACTCGTATCCTGCATCAGCAAGAGTATCGAAAGAGAAATTTTGAACACGTCTATATAACCACCTGGCAGTACTTTTTTTTTTTTTTTTTTTTTTTTTTTTTTTTTTTTTTTCAAATAACCAAGACCTTTTCTATGGAGTAAATAGCTCACACTCCTGTTTCTCGGTGATCCACGAAGCTGTGCCCTCTGTCAAAGTGGTGGTCCTGCCGAAACATTCGACAACGTCCTCCTCAGCCCGGCACCAGTAGCTCTCCTTTTAGGGTTTGGAGTAGTAATAGCCTTATCAGCTGTTTCAGACTCGCCACCGTGGGTAGCGCTTCCCGTAGACACACTTGATAACGTCCTCTTCAACCGACTGCCGGTTCTCCTCCCCCTCGTAGTTGTGGCTGTTGCTGTCGCTGTTGTTGCAGTCGTAGTGACAATACCCGTAGTTTCCTTTCCCTTTCCTCTTCCAGGTACAGGCTTCATATCCCGTAGTTTCTTGAGCATATCCACCCAAGCTGGATTATCCAACACTTTGTCCGGTAACGTCTCCTCAAGAGTCTCCGGTGGTCCTTCAGCCACTCGCTGTCTGTGCATACTTTGAGCAGCTCTGCCAAAGTTGGCTTTGCGTTTTCCGCGGGCTTGGATCTCCTTTTGCTTGGCTTCAAACCATTCTTGCGAGTGTCGTTGTGGCCAATGTATTCGAGGATCGATGTGAGCGTAAAGTGGCTCGTCTGGGACCGGTGTTGGTGATTTATTTGGCGGCGGACTGGTCTGTTTGCGTGGACTGAGCTGAGGTGTCGGTTTGGCTATGGGCTGGGGTATCAGTTTAGGTTTGGGCTGAGCTTGCGAGACCGACTCAAGTATGGGTTCCGGCTCTATATCTGGAGGAACCGGCTCTCGGCTTGGCACCTCTTGTTGTGACTTTTGACTCTGCTGTAACTCTGTCCTCTTGGCCTGGGGCTCCTGCTGTGGCGGCTCTGGAACTGATGCCGGTTCCGGTGGAGGGCCTGATTCTACTTGCGGCTCCGGCTCAAGCTGTTCTTCGGAATCAGACTCAGAATCTGATATTATGATGGGCTCATGTAAATTGGTCACTATGGGTCGTGGCCTGGGTTGAGGTTGTCGGGGTTTCTGTGGAGGCAGTGATCTATGTTGCCCAACTGTTTGATTTGGATTACTTTGAACCGTCGATCCCTGCGGTAGAACTTGACTGCGAAGATCTGGGAGGGGCTCTGTGGTATTTGATTGAGTTAATTCGGCCCCATTCGCGCTAAGATGAGCGGACATAGACCCTCGTATCAGCCCTGCCGGAGGGTTATAGCCCGCGAGGTCAAATGCACTTCTGGCATAATGTACCATAAGTCTATCAGCCATAGACATGTAATTACTGCTCTGACCGGTTGGCATTATAACATGTACGTTTGAAATGCCTCCAGATGAATTCTGCTGGTGAGTGGCAGGAGGAAGATTGTTCTGCGGCCCTGGATCATGAGCGGGGATCGGACCTTTCACGGGTTGTTGAGGAGCATGCACAGCCGAGCCACTGCAGGCCGCATCTTGCATCTCTTCCGAAAATCTCAGCTGTCGTGCAAGTTCTGCTATCCTGCTCGGTGGGAGCCGTGGGTTTGACGATTGTGTAGAACCATTTTGGCGCTCACCAGGTTGTTGCTTTTCACCCGCCAGACAAGGGGCGTCGATTGCCATGTTGGCGGGATTCGTAGACTGCTGGACTTTGGTCTCTGGTTGAGGCTTGTCGCCAGTCTCAGAACCGTTCATACGACCACTGTCAACACCGGTGGAAGAAGGCGATAAACTCGAGCTCTTGTTAGGTGGCCCACCGTTCGAATCTGACAAGGAACTGATGTTTGTGGTCAAACGTGGGGAGATAGAGTCTGCTGAGGTAGAAGAGAGGGTCTTGGGCTTGAGTGAAGAGGACCCAGTTGAAGCCAAGGTTGAGTTTTTCGCTAAGGAGTTAGAATCTTTATGCGTGCTGGGTCCAGGTTTAGGAGTCCGTCGGTTCAGGTATGGGTCTTTGCCGGCAGTTTTGCGTCTCACAATGTTTCCCGGCAGAAGTTTGGACCTCGTGGTAGGAAAGGGCGAGGAACGCTTATTCACCGGACCAGTCTCCAAAGAATTTGGTTTGCAGCCCTGTGCGCTTTGTCTAGCAACATCGGCAACTTCAGCCTCGCTGTTTGTCTGGGCTGGTTTTCTGGCGCCACCTTGACCATCAACCGAATGTGAAGTGATGGATGACTGAGACAATGAGGATGGATGTCCTGATGACTTCAATGAAGTAGCAGCTGCGTCAGGTTTCTGGGAGGCAGAAGTGACCAGGTCATCGGGTAGTGGCACTGGAAAAGACTTGAGATGCTGGGCACAGAAGATATTGACCGAAGGTGCCTCGCATTGCGGAATAGAGCAGGGGATGAGACGGGCAGGCTGAGTGTTGTCGGTTGAGGAAGAGGACACAGAGTAGCCCATCGCTGAGGAGGGCCTTCTGGGGAGACCGACGGTGGAGGTGGTGGAGAGACGGAGTGAGGTGGTTGACGAGGCTGAACGTAGAGAGAATGACGACCTGGCATGGTAATGATGGCGTCGTGCTGCCTCTTGGCTATCCACTACACAGCGATGACATGTCCAGTCACTGTATCATGGTAGTGGATGGTCAGTATACCCAAAGAATAGAGACAATCAAAGAAAATAGCGCGGTGGACAGTTAGTCTGTTCTTTGGACATTGACGGTTCGACTGTCGACATCTGTAACTGAGTGCATGCTGAGGTTGTCTTGGAAGCTAAACTGCGAACTTGTTGAAGGTGTGAGACGACTTGGAATGGCTATGGTGATTGTTGTCTGTTGTGCAAACCCGCCGCCACAGGCAGAGAGGAAAGAGCAAAATAGAAACTGAAGTGTGGAAGAGGCAGATGGAAGCTTTGATTGGCTACGAGTGGGCCCGCCCCAACTTTACCATTTTCTCCTTTCTGTCAAGAAGTACAGACCCGTATCTGATGTGTTGGTAGTCACCTCTTTTCTGACATTTTTGTGGCTAGTTCCATGTTGACTGCAGTGACGACGAAGAGGTGCTTGCGAGTTCAGAGAAGGAGGGAATTTGAAGTTGTGCGTGAGTGAGGGACGACGGGCATGATATGAAGTACAGAAACGAGATCGAGAGTATGAGAGAAAATAAAAACCTACGTTGACCGGGTGGGGTGTGGAATATGGCATGCGGAATGATAACTTCTATCACAACTGATGCATCGGAATAATGGTCTTGTAATACTGGCTTCCTTTTTGCAGTATCTGCAACGAGACGGCATCGATCAGGTCGTGCCTAGGAAAGTCCGAGGCGCCAGCTGTGGTCGCCCTGGGCTGTATCAATGTACGAGTTATAACGTATAGTCTAGACGTCTGCAAGGGGATATCCAGAGTAAGCAGGATGTATAAGCCGTCCTATGACAGTCCATAGACTTTGGTTAGCAGGCCAATCCCAGCGTGTGAAGCACGAAAACAAAAGTGTCGGTGGGCCAAGAACACCATATAAGGGTTGGTTTTGGTATAGTCCTTGTGATAGGACAACCAAGGCAACTTGCGTCTCAGGTCTTTTCAGTTTTTCCAAAGAGTCCTCATCCAGACCAGCCACAACGGTTTCATGATTCTGAGGCATCGAGGATGAGAAGACCACGATCGAGATCGAGTACTCTTCCCATGTCTTTCCTGTCCCCCACTGCCTTTGGCCCGGCTTCATAGAGCACTTGAAAGCCGGGCTCCTGGAAAGTGGAAGTAGCCTCTGTCAACAGAGACTCAGAGAGCTCCGGACAGGCAGCTATCAGATGTATCCAACCGCCAAGCATGTCGTGCTGCCGATAGTCTCAGGACAGCACGAGGAGTGGGCAAATGAATTGGCAGCGGACGCGCACTCACAAAGAGTGAGTGAGGCGCGAGAATCCCCATTGTACCAGCAGAACCATGACCCCAGAAGAGCTATCGGCCGTCGGACCTTTTACCAAATGCTCATCATAAACGCTACCATGTGGAGTGGGAGGATGGGTTGGAGTGAGGCAAGCTTACCTGATGTGAGATACACGGGAATGCTCTCGCTATACCGGTAAAGCAGTCAATGGCAGAGTACACATCAACACCAGAGCTTCCTTGGGGACTCAGCCCAGTCTCAACCTTGCGTCTCTCCCGCTTGAGTAACCAAACCCCGCCTGCCGGATCCCGGAGTGCCATCCAGCGCTTCTGGAGAAGCTTGCTTGCCTAGGCCATGTGAGGAAGCAGCATCGATGTTGTTGACCATCGACCAGAGACCCGGCGATCGCAGAGGCAGGGCTGAAGACGTGTGGTGTGTTAAGGAAGCTTGCTGGTCATGAATGGGCACTTTGATGTAATGATAAAAACAAAATGAAGCGTAGGACGACGTTGTCAGCGGAGGAAAGATGGCGACGGCGGGGATGGAAAGACAATGTAGGTGTGGAGTGTAGCCCAAAAGGTCCATACAGTAAATTCTACCATAGTGGAGCCCAACTTTCCCATGAAATTCCCGGGCCTCTCCTTCCCGAACCGCCAACGTCACGGCAACGGGCAACACCCGTCGCTAGAAGTGAAGCGTGCACGGACCTTTAACCACCGAGACGTCGTGGAGGCTGAGTGCTAGGGGCAACCCTGGCCTACAAGCTCCCTGTAGCTCGCTAGCGTCGTGTTTGAGGTGATCAATCCACTTCCTTCCAGAGCGGCGCTGCCTGCAGGGGAACTTAATTCGACAAGTTGGAATTCGCGATAACTTCCGTTGTCCTTCCTTGGACAACCTAGACAAGTGCTTTGCGACAACTTGCATGCCACCACCCCTTTTCCCGACTCGACTCTCCAGACGTCCAGATATCTTGCTATACGGATTCAGTGACGAGCACGCCCTCAAGACAAGTCCCCGATCATGGACTTCCTCAAATCGGCTGTCGCGTCAGCCATCGCAAAGGGGCCTCCATTCCCCTATAATTTTGGCGACAAGGTCGATTTTGACCCCTCCATCTGGACCCTTTACAACGGAACTCGACGCGTATGTTGTTACACCCTTCTTCTGCCACCCGAGGCACACAGCTAATCCCTATAATGTTTCCAGGAGGACGGATCCAACTGCAGCATCTTCTCGTTTGACATCTCCGCCAACCGGTCTGCGCTTCCCCTAGCCAAGAATGCGCTCAAGAAGCTACGAACACTACGACATCCTGGCGTCATCAAGGTGTTGGACACGGTCGAGGTAGGGCATCTTTGCCCATGGAACGTCGTGGTCGCTTAAGCTGAGCCTTGCGCAAAAGACAGACTCCTACATCTACATTGCCACTGAGCGGCTAGTTCCCCTAAGCTGGCACGTCAAGAGAAAGAGCCTCAGCCCAGAGACTGCGAAATGGGGTCTTTTTAGCGTAGCGGTATGTTTGCCATGATTCTGGTTTGACTATGAGTACCGGCAGCTGACCCTGGGTTTACAGAAAACCCTCAAGTTCATCAACGGTGACGCATCCTCGATACACGGCAACCTCAAGGTCGCCTCGATATACACATCCGAGAGCGGCGAATGGAAGATTGGTGGCTTTGAAGTCCTGAGCAATGTCAAGGATGACGATGCTTTGATATACGTACGTCTTCAACCACGGTTCAGGCATTCTGGAGAACATGGGGCGCTAACGTGCCAAAATAGAGATACGGCAGTATTGTGCCTGACTCGGGGAGGTACACTCCTCCTGAACTTGCAAACGGCGGATGGGATGTCATCAAAAAGAGCCCTCACCATGCGGTTGACTCGTACGACTTCGGCATCTTGATCTATGAGGTCTTCAACGGCAGTTTCATGGGGTCCGACCAACTAGGACAGACCAAGAGTATCCCGCCCAGCATGCAAGCGAGCTACAAACGCCTCATCAACGCCAACCCCAAGGCCAGACTCAGCGCAGCCCACTTCCTCGAACAAGGACTAAGGAATGGATCCTTCTTCGACAGCCCATTGATCAAACTGACCGAGGGAGTTGACAACCTGGGAATAAAGTCGGAAACCGAACGCGAGGCCTTCCTGGAGGATCTCGACCAGCTCTCGGACGACTTTCCGGAAGATTTCTTCAAGATGAAGGTCCTACCCGAGCTGCTCAAATCGGTGGAATTTGGCGGTGGTGGTCCCAAAGCCTTTGGAGTAGTGATGAAGATTGCAACAAAGCTGTCCAACGAAGACTTTGACACAAAGGTTACTCCTGTCGTGGTTCGCTTGTTCGGAAACCCCGATAGAGCGATCAGGGTATGTTTGCTAGACAACCTGTCGCTCATGATCGACAGACTACCACAAAAAGTGGTAAACGACAAGATCTTTCCGCAAATAGTAAGTCTCAGCCTTGTTATTGAGCCCTTGTGCATAATGCTGGCACAAACAAAGCCTCGCGCAGTTGGAACTAACGGTAAACAATTTTAGGTTGCGGGTTTCACAGATGTCGCACCCATTGTGCGCGAACAAACACTCAAGTCCGTACTAGTCATCATCACCAAACTATCAGACCGTACCATCAATGGCGACCTCCTCAGATACCTCGCCAAAACTGCCAACGATGAACAACCCGGCATCCGTACCAACACAACAATCTGTCTCGGCAAGATTGCCAAGTACCTGGGAACCTCCAACCGAGCCAAGGTCCTTATCGCCGCCTTCACTCGCTCTCTCCGCGACCCCTTCGTGCACGCCCGCAACGCCTCCCTGATGGCTCTCGCCGTGACAGTCGAGTACTTCTCCAGCGAAGACTGTGCTACACGTCTAATACCCGCCGTCTCCCCCCTCCTCATCGACAAAGAGAAGTTGATCCGTGACCAAGCCAACAAAACCATGGACGTCTACCTCCAACGCATCCGCAAAGCCCAACAAGACATGCCCGAGACCGTAATACCCCCCGAAACCGCCCAACCCCGTATGAGCACCCCTCAGCCAGCCGAAGCCACCACCGGCTCCAGTTCCGGCTCCGGCGCCGTAGCAGCCGCCTGGGCAGGCTGGGCCATCTCCAGCTTCACCAACAAGCTCTCCAGCGCAGCAGGGGAGATGCAACCCAACGGTGCTGGTGCACCATCGCCCGTTCCGAGCGCCAGCGGGCTATCCACGCCCACATCCACTACCACTCCCAAACGGCCCACCTCATCTTCTGTTTCGGCGCTACACAGACAAGCGCTCAAATCCCCATCACCTTCCATTACTACTACTCCTACTCCATCAACGGGCGACTCCTTCTTTGCCGATCCCGAACCGCAAGAAGACGATGCAGACGCTTGGGGCGACATGGGCGATATGGATGACGACGCTACAACAGGCGCAGGAGACGATAACTGGGGCGCGAGCTCGGAACACTCACAACCAGCGTCGTCGTCAGCAAAGAGGTTGGTAAGCAGTAGTAGCAAACAGCCATTCGGCGACGGCGGCGCAGGCGGGGTTGATGATGATGGAGAACCTGATTTCGCGGGGTGGTTGGCGGCGCAAGCGGAAAAGAAGAAGAATCCTTTGGGGGCGGCTGCACCAAAGACTTTGCCCAAGGGACTTGCGAAGACGGGAAGCGCAAAGGTTGGACCACCAACAAGTACAAGTACGACGGCGGCGGTGAAAAAGACGTTGCCTATTAGTAAGAAGCCTGCTGCAACGGCGACTGTGAAGAAGATTGATACGAAGCCCAAGGTGGATGTGGATGGGGATGATGGGTGGGGGGATGGGTGGTAATCTATCTGGTGCCAGTGTGGTGCTGAGAGGAAGGTGGTGGTTGGATTAGAGTTGGAGACGGAGGACAGCATTATTTGTGTTACAGTCTAAACTTAGTCTATAATGGATAAGATGAAAGCTAACCGGCCCGAGTGGTTGGTTGGGTTATATCAAAATCTAAAGATGATTGCTAAAAGTTGGGATCATATCTTTGACTTATCAGATTATATTAACCACCTTTCACCCATCCATCGAATGCCGTCTTGTCTTCCTGCCAGTCACGTAGCACACAGCACATTTTGATAATTTGAACGGTCTTTTACATGTGTTTTTGCCATGTATATCAACACTAAATACAACTTGGTATATGCAATCTTCTTCTCATCTATCCCGTCCATATACATTTTGTTTATGTCCGGTCCGGTCTTGATCCGTTCCCTTCTTTTGGTAAAACCTGTACACCTTTTTCCTGTACCTGCCTGTATCCACCCATGTCTTTTTTGCATGTGCATAAACGCTCATCAGGAAACATGTCAACTCGCTTCGGGATATCATCCTCCTCTTTTTTTTTCCCATCTTCTTCTTCCTTTTACTTATCCTCTCACTAGGTCCCCTTGCTGCACTAGACCGAATGAGGCACCACTTAGTTACCCTTGGCGAGCAAGTTCAGCGCGCTACCGGCCAGAATAAAGCCAGCCTGGTCCTTGGAAACCGCATGCTTGGTCTTGATCTCCACCACCTTGCCAGTGTCCTTCTTGGTAACCCGGAGGGAAACCTCGCCCTGGCCACCGTTCTTGAGCATCTCGTACAGACCGACAGTAGCCACCTCATCGCCAGCGTCAATCAGATCGTAATCCTGCTCGTTGGCGAACGTCAGGGGCACGACACCCTGCTTCTTGAGGTTGGTCTCGTGGATTCTGGCAAAGGACTTGGTGACGATGATGCGGGCGCCCAAGTAACGGGGCTGAAGGGCAGCGTGCTCGCGCGCGGAGCCCTCGCCGTAGTTGTGCTCGGCGACGACGAGCCAGGGCTGGTTGCGTTGCTTCCACTGCTTGGCCAAGTCGGGAATGGTGTGCTTGGAGCCGTCGAGGTCGTAGGCGACGTTGACCTCGCCCGTGGCGGCGTTGACGGCCGTGTTGAGCGTGTTCTCCGAGATGTTGGGCAGGTGGCCCTTGTACTTGAGCCAGGGACCGGCGGCGGAGATGGTGTCGGTTGTGCACTTGCCGGTGACCTTGACGAGCACGCGCAGGCCGGAGAGGTCCGAATCGGGGAAGGGCTCGAAGGGCTCGAGGAGGGCGAGACGCTCAGAGGAGGGCGAGATGGCGACTTGAACGTTCGGGTTGGGGGATCCCGACTGGACTTGGAAGACCTCGCGGCCGGCTTCGAAGGGGGTTTCGGGACCCTCGAGACCCTTGGGCGCGGGGAACTTGAATTCCTTGCCGTCGGGGGTGGTCAGGCTGTCGGTGATGGGGTTGAAGGTGGTGGAACCGGCGTAGGCCATGGCGGTGACGATTTCGGGCGAGGCGAGGAAGTTCATGGTCTCGAGGTTACCGTCGTTGCGACCGCGGAAGTTTCTGTTGTAGGAAGTAAGGATGGCGTTGGGAGTGCCCTTGGGGATGTCATCCTGGCGCTTCCACTGGCCGATGCAGGGACCGCAGGCGTTCGAGAGGATAATACCACCAGCCTTCTCAAAAGTCTGAAGGGTGTTGTCTCTCTCAAGAGTGGCACGAATGCCCTCGGAACCGGGGGTAATGTAGAAGTCGGCAGCGGGCTTGATACCAGCCTGCTCGGCGGCCTTGACAATGCTCTCGCAACGGGTCATGTCCTCATAGGAGCTGTTAGTGCAGCTACCAATCAGACCAGCAGAAAGCTTCTCAGGCCACTTTTGCTCCTGGACAGTCTTCTTGAACTCGGAAAGAGGGGTGGAAAGATCGGGAGTGAAGGGGCCGTTGATATGGGGCTCGAGCTTGGAAAGGTCGATCTCGATCAACTCGTCGTACTGGGCGCCCTCGTCGGCCTTGAACTTGAAGAACGAGTCCTGACCGGTGCCCTTGGTGAAGTTCTCGAAGTTCTTGGCGTCCTTATCGGCCTGCTCGCGGTTGGTGGCCTTGAGGTAGCGGCTGGAAGCCTCGGTGAAGGGGAAGATGGAGGTAGTGGCGCCAATCTCAGCACTGTAGCAACAAGGGTCAGTCAATACGTTCTAAATGGCGAGGGGGAAAGCTTCGAGAGGACTCACCCCATATTGCAAAGAGTTGAAGAACCAGAGCACGACAAAAACTGACTACCCTCGCCTATCAAAGAAAACATGAATGTTAGCGATCAGACATAGGCAGTGTCACGATAGCTGTCATGGTCAGTCATGTTGCCAGTTGCTACGGTTGCTGCTGCTGTAGTGAGTGTCTGTTAATTGTCCCGAAGGAGCCAAAAACGAGTGAACGTCACAATTCGTTGTCTCAAAGAGACCCAAAAACGAATGGACAGATCACAAAACGTTTGAGTTAGCCACAAAACACACATCAATTTATGATATATGTTATCTCCCAGGGCACCAACAGGGCGCCACTCAAGACCGACGCCGGGAACGGCTGGGTACGTGGTAAGGTCTCCATCGCTCTCTATCCTCGTCATTGTTGAACATCCCCATCTCCTCATCTGGGTCGTCCACCGGCAATCCCTTGGCAACCCTGTTTGCCTTGTGTACTTTGGAGCCGATGTGTAGCAACCAACCTTGGCCATTATCACGAGCTGAATCCCGCTCGCAAATGGTACAGAACGAGTACTTAGGATGCTATCCTTCGTATTTCGCCTGTTGCACCATGTGCGCCCTGCATGCCAGGTGATCTCTGATGAGATGGGAAAAGCTGAACTGCTTTTGACACAAGCGGCAGTAGTTCCGGGGGTATCCATCTTCTCCAGAGCCAATGGGGGCATCGGCGAGGGCACCAGCAGAGAGGGCACCAGCAGAGAGGGCACCGCCGGAACGGGCGATGGCTGCCTTGTGTGCTTTGCACTTGAAATGCTGGGTCAGAGCATTGTTACTGCTATAGTCAATGTGGCAATCATGGCAATGGTGCGGCCCCGGAACGTATCCTGGTTCCCCATAAACCCTCTTCTTGAGACCCCAATTGAGGGGGCAGATGCGCTCATGATTTTCCCTCGCAGGATCGTTGATATGGTTGGTGCCGCATTTCGTGCAAGGATGAATGTCCTCTCCCGCCTCGCATCGCAGCCAACCCTGGTGCTCACGGCTCAAAGAGTGTGTTTCGAGGAATCTCTTTCGGATATAGCGGACATCTGCATACCATGCAGGATCATAGCAGACATCACACAGGAAAACCTTTGGGCCTTTTTCCTTGCCCTGCACACGAACTCGATGCTTGCCGGTCCGGTAGTGCCTGTCAAGGTCGGCCTTGGTTGAAAACCGGTGCCAGCACACCATGCAGAAGAATCGACGCTCTTTCATTGCCCTGCGACGGGAGTGAAGGTCGCTGCGGGCGACACGGCGGGCTTTGTGCCTCTTCATTTTGGCGGCCAATCTGGTGCGCTGCCGATAGGTGAGGTGAAACGGTTCGTCTCGACCCTCCACCAGAGGCGTCCTCAGGTTGGCTGGCCCGTAGGGCCGGTTTTCGACCAGCCAAATGAAGAAGTCCTGCAGTTTGTACTTCTCAGAGGCAAAAGCGCATGTCCCAAATGCAAATGTGAAGAATGCCTCCATAACAATGAAAGTGGCGCGAGTCTCTGGCAACTCCTGGGGCGATGGCATTGGGGCCCAGGCGAGCAGGCGGCTGTGGCTGATCTTGTATCCGAGCTTGACCAGCTTGCCGACTCTCCGGGGAAGGTTTCGCAACCTTTCGTAGTCTTGAAGGCGAAAATGGTAACCCTACACACCACTTGTTGCGGAACCAATGTAGACAAATGGCTGGTGTTCATCATGCTGCAAAACATGGAGGTAGATTGCGCTCAATTTCTTCGAGTCCGGGCGCTGTGTGCCGGGAAGGCCGTTGCAGAAAAATGAGAGGAGGTCTGGCATCTGCGCTTGACGGAGGAGGGCGAGCAGGCCGGGTGCCACTGACACATTGGTCGTCATCAGGGCCTCGTATACTTGATCGGCGTTGGAGAAGAGTGTGTTGAAGATGGGTTGCACAAGCCGCGGCGGTGTGGCAGTGATGAGCTCATGCATGCGGCCAGCGAGAAACGTCATGTCAGCAGCGTGTGAATCATCCATCTGAGCAAAGGTGTTAGCATAACCAAAAAAAATGAATCTCGATGCGACATGAGAGGAAAACTTACCATCGCTTGCTGGGACGTCCCGACAGCCACGTCGGCGGCCTGTGAATCATCCATCTGAGCAAAAGTGTCAGCATAACCAAAAACGCATCTCGATGCCACGTGAGAGAAGGAAAACTTACCACGACTGGTTGGGAGGGCCCGGCGGCGATCGATCGTCTCGGAGAGCTCGGCGAACTTGCAGACAATGTCGGCAGTGTGGCAATCGAGAACGACGGCGAAAGAGGCGGGAGCGGACAGGAGTAAAAAAAAAAAAGGGTGGCCACGAGACAATGCTCTGGATGTCTTCTCTCAAGAACAGATTCCAAAACGAGGTCGGGGGGTCGTGGTCTTATAGAAATCTGCGAGGGCGTGGTACTTGGTGACATCGTCCCCCAACGAGCTATTCAGAGCGGAACCTCGTCCCCCAACCAAGTGTTTAGGGTGGATATCCTGCAACATCTTGGCCAGACTGACGCGATCGAGATGTCGAAGCCGTCCAAAGATGGAAGGCACTGAGGTGATTGTTGAGTGCCTGCCCAAGTGTTGGGGTGACATGACACGATGCGGAGGTGATCGGGTGGCCCTCAAGGTGCTGGAGCTGTCCCAAGACAGAAGGCACTGAGGTGATTGTTGAGTGCCTGCCCCCATGATGAGGGAAATGAGATGATGCGGAGATTGCCAGAGAGTCTCCGCCATGCCAGACCGAGAGTAGAGATGGGAAGGCACTGAGAGCTGGGTGTCGATCCGTGACGTCCAGACCTTTGATGGATCCACCGTCACACACCCCGAACGGCGAAGACGGAAGGCACCGAAATCTTTGGTAGTGATGGAGTCCTGATGCCATCCTGATGCTTGAGAGAGCTGCGCAGATATCAAAGGTGAGGCGAGTCTGACAACTTAACCCATCCGTCATCCGACAGCTCCAGAACGCCCAGCGATGACGGGTGAGAGAGAGCTGTGAGAGAGCTGTGGGAGATGCTGAACGGTCCGAGGTCATGGAAACCATCGTGATTCATGGATGAGCCGACCGAGAGGGAGGAGTGCGCAAAGCTGGGAAGGAATCAAGAGGTTTGCGATGGGAATCCAAGGCAGCGACAAAAGCCCCGCCCATCGAAACGAGAGGATTGTGCAAAGTTGGGAAGGAACGAAACGGTTTGCGATCGGGATGGGAGGCAGTAATAAAACCCCGCCGGCAAGATGAGGAAGTCGCGTCGATTTCTTGGTGGGTACCTAGACAGCGAGGCGCTAGTCCAGGGAAAAGGCAGGGATGTGACGGGACGGGAGGGTGAGTGACGACCGGTGTCATCCGTCATCGGTGTAAGGGTGATGATGGCTGCAATGCAATGTGTGGATTCTTGATCATCTGGGGTAATCGATAGCGTCGATTCTGACTTGCCGCAATACAACCCCAAGTTTAGCTTAAAGGAAATTGAGGGTATCGATTATTTTGACCTGCTGGATTCGAAATTTGGGGTAATCGATAGCATCAATTTGTCTGATTCGAGTCTGATTTGGTGAGCCAAATTTGGGGAAATCGACTGCCTCGATTTGCTTGATTCAAGTCGGACTTGGGGAAATCGACGACACCAATTTGCTTGATTCGGGGAAATCGACTGCCTCGATTTGCTTGATGGCGGGGCAATACGTTGGGACGTAGAGGTCCGCTTTTGTCTGGTGCGAGTATGTTAGGCGGGTGTTCTGGTCCTAGTCTGACTCGACTGGTGCCTCGCTGCCAAAGAGGGCTGGTGAAAATACCTTTCGGGAATCATAGGAAGAAAGAAAAAAAAATCAATCGTTCAGTCTGATTCGACAATGATAGCTTCATTCACGCGTTGATTCGCGCTGGCGCGCCACTCTGTAAGGGTGATGATGGCTGCAATGCAATGTGTGGATTCTTGATGATCTAGGCCAAATCTGGTCAAGAACCTGGGCGCGAACAGTCACTCGACTGCCTGGACAGTATGATCAAGCACAACATCTGTCATTTTAGTAGTAGAACTGATAGAGAAAAACTGACCTTCGTATATTCATTGTGACTTCCGATGCCAACACAGGGACGCTGACAATCACAACAGCAGCAACAACAATAGCAACATAGCAACATACTGTACCTAGAAAGCAAAGGATCGGGAATGGAACATACCTAATAAAATGTTAGTATCACACACAAAGATACGCACACACAAAAACCAGGGAAAAAAAAAAAAAAAAAAAAAAAAAAAAAGGAGGGGGGGAGGGGGGATGCATACGGTTCCCCCGAATGGATTCATGGAAAGGAAAAATGTGTTCTGGAAGCAGAAAACATACCGAAGTACTCAACAATGTATCCAGTACCACCACGGACGGTAAGACGGCCGGTAAGGTGAAGAATAACATCCTTGGCGCTGACCCAGTCGTTGAGCTTGCCAGTCAGGCGAACACCGAGGATCTTGGGGGCCTTGAGCTCCCAGGGAGCACCAACGAGGGCCTCAACAGCATCAGCACCGCCGACACCGATAGTAATGGTAGTCAAACCACCAGCGTTGGGAGAGTGGCTGTCGGTTCCGAGCATCATGAGACCGGGGACAGCGTAGTTCTCGAGGACGGTCTGGTGAATAATACCAGCACCGGGAGGCCAAAAGTCAATACCGTACTTCTTGCCAGCCGACTCGAGGAAGTCGAAAACCTCGTTGTTGGTGGCGATACCGGCCTTCAAGTCCTCATCGGCACCCTTGGATCCAACAATCAAGTGGTCGCAGTGGATACTGGCAGGAATAACGGGCTGGGGGAGGTTGCAAGTCATGAACTGCAGGAGAGCCATCTGGGCGGAGGCATCCTGCATGTTCACACGGTCGGGCTTGAGCTTGAGGTTGGCCTTGCCGCGGATGTCACGGCCGCCGTTGGTGTTGGAGAGGAGCGACTCTTCGACATTGTCGAGGTGGGAGTAGAGGATCTTCTCGGCCAGGGTCAGGCGCTGCGAACCCAGCACGCGGCGGACCTCGGAATACTTGTTGTAGAGGGTCTCATATCTGGGAGGAAGAACGCCGGTGTTGTTGGAGGAGGTGGACGAAAAGGAGCGGGCCGAAGCGCATGCGACGCGCGAGGGGAGCTGCTTGGCTTGAATTGCCCGCTACGAGAAAGGACGACTTGTTAGCGCTGGTGAGTCACTAGATAGCCCTTTATTTTGTACAGGGTTAAGCCTCGGGGAACTGGCCTACCTTCAGGGCAGCGCCTGAGCGACTGGCGAGATCAATTGACCTCATGGTGACAGACTGTACAGGAGGGGAACTTTGTTGTTTGGAGGAAGAAAAGAGGAGAGAAAACTGAAGTTGCCGGTTACACCATCTTCACTTGGTCCGAATTACGGAGCCATTCCACTTGTGAGTGCCGCCGCCACCCAAGCAGCAAATCCGGGGATTGCGGTACACTACACTACATACAGGTACGCTAACTGCCTTTTTGTCCAATAATATCCCGCGATTTTCAGTGAATGCAACTTTTTTTGTCTTTATTCCAATTCTGAGTTCGGGGATGCCCAAGTCCTCAAAAGTTCCGGATCGCTATTAAAACCCTCCAGGCCGGCAGTACCCTTGAACCAATGTCGACTTGGAACACAGTGGATCATCTTTCGACATTTCGAGCCAATCATGACTCGTATGTTCCTAATCGATTCTCTCAGTCAGGGACTTCGGCCGAGCTTTCATCTTGAATTGTTCTTATATCCGACGGAAATGTAGTCTATATCGCAATACTTATTGCTCCTAGGTATCAAGTATTATGAAACGACGTGGCGGGCGTACTTGGAAATTCATGTCGTTGTGTGATTTTCCACTCTAAAAACATTACTTGTATAACCATAAAACGCCATTGCCATAGCCGATTCTACTAAACAACCCGCCAGTCGCTCTCAAAAAGAATATCCGGGGAAAATAACACATACAAGATGCCCCTGCCATGACACTGCACTTTGCAGTTTCATTTCCTCTTACATTGACAGCCCATCATAGACACGTAAGAATTGACATCTTTCCGCAGCCGCCCTACACTTCAGCCGTGTCGCAAATTGTCGCCGTCTCCTCAGCCTCATCCAAAAGTTCCCACTAGCGAGCTTCGGAATAATCGTTGAGAGCGACGCATACAATACCGCGGTGATGGCCGTTGTACTGTCTGATAACAAGCTGCGTGTGTAACTCCCACAGCCGCGCATAATGATCGCTGCAGGCCGTTACCAGGTAGGCACTGTCAGCGCTGAAGGCACAGTCCCATACCCAACGCTGGTGCTCCTTGAGGGTGGCCTCGAGGGGGAACGCCTGTGGTTCCGAATCGGCCGTGGCAGGTTCCATTTCCCTGACTTCCCAGATCCTGGCCGTATGGTCGGCGCTACACGTTGCGAGCTTCTTGACATCGGGCGAGAGTAGGATGCGTGTAATGCTTTCCTTGTGTGCGGAAAAGTGGGTGAGGGGAATCAGCTGGGTGCGGTCATAGGCCTGGATGAGTTGCCAAACGAATACATTGCCCTGGCAGACAGAAAGGAGGTGTCAGTATCGGGAAGATACAGCAAGGAATGACTCGATGCAGAGAAAACTTACAGCAGTGTTGGCCGCACAAAGAAGTGTACCGTCACTGGCAACCGTGACACTTGTCACTGAAACATCCTCCTCGGGGATTAGCTGGTGCGAGCAAGTGTTCTCGGCCAGATCCCACAGTCGGATGCTTCCGGCGCGGTCGCAGCTGATGATCTCTCCCTGATTAGGGTGGATGACAACGTCGTTTGCCGGAGAGCCGTGGTTGTAGCTTCGCTGGATGGTTCCGGTGCGGGTTTCCCAAATCTTGACCGTTCCGTCCTCCGAGCTTGTGACCATCCACTTGCCCTCGCAGTGGAAGGCCACGCCGGTCACATTGCCGGTGTGGCCCTGGAAGGTCATGAGGGCCTGCGGGTTTGTGGAACGAATGTCAAAGAGTTTGACATCGCGGTGGCCGGCAGCGGCGAGGTATCGCTTGTCAGGGGATATGCAAAGACGGTTCACTTGAGACTCGGGGTGTTGGATGGTGCGCGAGCAGATTCCTGAGAGCGCCTCCCAGAACCTGATGGTGTGGTCGTAACCAGCTGTAAAGGGCAAAGCGAAGAGTCAGCAGCTGTTCCAATTTGGCAGAAGGGAGGAACTGGATCAAGGGGATGGGGCATTACTGCGTCGGCAAGGTAGACCGGGACAAGACAAGCCATACCTGTGCAAAGGATAACCGACATGGTAGAGGTAGCGACTGCGACGGGGATACAGAGGCTATGATTCCATAGTCCACAGACACTCTTCAGGTCTACCGGTACTTGGGCAGTCGGTAACAGACAGCGAGCGCGTCGATATGGGAAGAAGAGACGTGGGTCACGGTAGAACGATGGAAATTATATCGTAATGGCCCGAATTGAAATTGATGTCAACAACGGAGCTGAGGCCCTGATGATCGCGGGACGGCACTGGACCGCACCGCTTGATACCTAGCAGCGGATAGCAGCGCTGCATGGACAAGACAGGGCGGCGGGGCAGGCAACACAACGAAGAGACGGACGGGATGAAGTGGAGTAGACTTAAGGTTGCCCCACAGGGGGGACAAACGGTGGGGCCGGAATCAAGTGGGGTTGAACTGTACACTAGTGGATGCAATTGCCTGCCGGAACCAGTCACTAACACCGGCATCCTCGACCAACCAACAACAGCCCAAGCAATTCCGTTTCCCAACTTCAACTTTCCTTCCAAGCTTCAAGTTCAGTACCGACTTCTTCTACACCAAAACATCCAATCATGATGAATGTTTACTATTTATGTACACCTTCTCTTTGCTCGAGACTAGGAAACCACGTATAACGCACTTCCATTTTCCTCCTCGCCTGTTATATTACCCAGTGATAGCACCATCTCAAGGTCAGCATATTGTTTGTCCTCCTTCTCAGGGCCTCTGTTCCCCTCGTTGTCCAGCACGCACACACTCGGTTTCTCTTGTGATGCCGCGAAACACCATGTCCCAGTACACCCGCCCCATTCTATCTGATGCCGTCATTAGCCATACCATATCCGTCTTGGATGTGCTACTTTGACACCCCCAACCTCGCGCTCATTGGTGAGGTCTACGGCAAATCCGAGTACCAGATGTGTTGTTTCCCTTGCTTCCCGTTTCCCGTCCCCCGCCTCCCAGGTTGGTCTGTGATAGAGTGTCCTGTACGTCCGGCGATATCCGTTCAGTGGCCTACTAGAGGTAGTTAGTATTCACTCTCTGTTGGTCAACATCTGCTGGGACCTGCAACTCTAAGCGCGAGTGGGCCCTGCTTCTGTACCACCGACACCTTACAGTCCTACTTACTCCATTGACAGTCTTCTTGTAAGTGAGTGGGTGGATTGCTATCGATTAACACCTGAGAGCACGAGTGGAGACTGACCTGTCTAGATTCCTTTTCTCCTTTTCCCTGCGCAACCGAGCCCCGGCCTGACGAACACTCTACACAAGTCACCACCAATCTCAAAACTCCATAATCGGCTGTTTGCGTCTTAGAACCCGTCTTCGCAGCGGATTTCCACCTGTTGGAGCCTTTCTCGGTGTCCGAGTGTGGTACGGGTACCCGATTCCGCCAAAGTCTTCGGATTCTTCCGGTTATCAGCATGAACAACCAAATCCCACAGGGCACCATTCCCGCACTGGACTTTTATATGCCCGATCAACTCCTCTCAGCGACCTGCGTCATGTCGCCCGCCATGGCTGTGCTACCTGTCGGTTTCGTCCCATGTCCGAACTTGGGATGAATCCAAGCTGGCCCGCATCTCGAGAAGCACACATGCTCGGTTTCCGTTCCGAACTCAACCTTCGGACTTGCGGTGAGGCCAAACCTCAGGTAGCACTCGGGACAGCGTGACTGGACGCGTTGTGTTTTCCATACAAGGCGAACCGAGGATTCGGGTGTTGGGCAGCACAGCGCTGGCCACTCGGGTGGATACCCGGTCTCACCGGGAGCACAGCTGGCCACCGGGTCGTACAAGGAGCGGCTCTCCATCCACAAGTTTGTGCTTCCTCGAGCTTCACCTCTACCCCAGAGCCTTGGACCCTGTTAGCCTTGGGTTCTTGAACGACGGCTAACCTGAATCCATCTTACCCATCTCCATCAGCAAATTGGCCCTTCATCTCCTGCAAAACTACCGGTGATGCAAGCAACCGATATGAAAGAACTGCGCGGTGGTATGCATGCATGGTACCGTTCCCTCACGCGATCACCCAGCGAGGCCCGATGAACCATTTCGTATCCCCGTGGAATGAACCAAGACACGGGAATGCGGCTGGTAGCAGAAGCGTTGACATGGGTGGCACTGAGCCATGTAGAACGACAGGTGGTAACGTGTCTAAGCAGAATCCGACGACCTTCTCGGCTACAACCGAAGGTTGAAATAGTGTTCGGTTGAGACGGAATGAGCTGAGCGAATGATTCCTTTCTGACCCATTCTATCTTCGTGGCCAGGCTGCAGTCCCGAGACTGCAACTTGACGCACGCAACGCGACGCAGCGCAATGCCAGATAAATGCCAGATCAACTGATCTGAAGCCAACAAAAAATTCTTGTGCGGCCTCTGGACACCTGCAGAGAAGAAAAGGGGAAAGGGAAAAAGAGGGAAAACAAAAACCGGAAACCAAACACCCAAACCCCTGAACCCTTGAAAATGGAAAACAAAGAGATATCAAACATTCAAGACCCTGACTAAAGCACAACCCCCAAACACCTTGCCCAACACAACATAACCTTGTACTCCTGTCTTTAGCCCAACGTCAGCACAACCGTGCCTTGTTGTTTGTGCATCCCGATACCTTCAACATCCTTCGCTCCACATCACACTAGGCGGCGCGTCCGTGTCCATGAGATGTTGGTGCCCAGCCACCATGCTGACCACATCTCCCATCGCGCCCATCATTAAATCCACCACTGCCTCCAGAGCCACCAGGAGCGGCACCGCTCAATGGGTATGACGATGTGGCACGTACGCCGTGAGGGCACTGTCTGTAGACCATGCCATTGTCACAACTTCCACACCACCTAAGTATCGTCAGCAACAAGTCCGGGGCTGTAATCAATGCCGATGGAATATTACTGACTGGCGCATACTGCCGGCACAAGCTTGGCAAGTGAACACTGCTACCATCTGGCCGTCGATCAAAGGGCACCCGCAGGTTTCAGGGATGGGCTGGTGGCCAGTCATGATGATAAACTTTTGTTGATGGCAAGATAGTATCGATTTTGCGAGGTTGATGGCGAGTTGTTTACTCAGTGGTAAGGAGGATGGTAGTAAGATCAGATTATCGTATCAGACTGAAGACTAACGGGACAGACAAAGCACGACGTTGGATGAGCGGAGTTCTTATACTTATGAACCTCTGCACGCACTCGAGATCTCCAGATACAAACGATTATGACTTACACAGAGACACCACCTCACCGCTAGACACCAAACTTTGCGCCATATCCTGACGTAGCATTTTCTACGCAGGTGTTTGGCATTCCTATCCCATACCCGAAGCCGCTCCAGAGGGGTCTGCTGATCGACGTGGTTGACCGGTGATGATGCCGCTACTCTGGGATGGAGGGTATGTTGGACCATCAACGCCCTTTGGCCGGTACCATGGCACTCACAAGCATATCGCGGTTGGGCCGAGGGCACACAAGAGACGGGCCCATGTTGCCAGCGAAGTAAGCCTACCCAGGTTCGACCCTGTATCAGAAACTACCCTAGCTCCCTTTCTGGAAGACGTCTCCCGCCTTGTCTCGGTTGTGGTCATCCTGTTCTTTGCAGCAGCAACATGGACATCCATCCTCGAGAGATTACCCCAAGCAAGATGCACTATCTTGCCGAGTCCGCGATCCCGCACATTGCATTGGACGCTGCAGCTACCCGGTCTGAGCTGTGCATCGAATGGCAACAAAACTTTCCTACGGTCCTGATTGGAAAAGTCCATAGTCCGGCTTACTTGTGTCGACATACTGATTTTCTCTTGGCCTGGACTACAATAATAGCGGATGCGTGCATACACTTCCTCCAGTAGCACGCAGAAAGGCGGGCAAAGAGCGCCCAATAGACCAACTTCTGCTACCTGACCGGGAACTCCATTACCTGCCCACGACAAGGACTCACAATGCTCCCCCCATCAACATATTCTATATCAGTACAGTGAGAAGTCGTTCGGGCTCAAACTGTCCACATGTGGCTTCACCTCCAAGCTATGAGACAACACCAAGTCGACACATCAGGATACTGTCTCAGCAAGCACATCATCCACCCCTCATGACGCACCTACCAGTAAGGTCGGCTTATACCGAATCCAGCGGATAAAGTCACTTATAGTTCGGATAGCAAGGCCGGATATTGCCCCAACCTGCTCCAACTTATTCGTTCCCCGCCATTCCTTTAGGCAATACTTTACATTCTCTTCCTGTTTCCTGGTTGGTCATACCATCGAAGTATCCAAGGCCCCTCAAAACATGATGTCCTGTTTCCCACGGGGCCGCCTTTCGAGATTTCACCGATCATTCGAGGAGAGTGGTGCGACCAATCAGACTACACTCGAAATCTCCCCATCAAGAATCTGGGCTTTTGCAGGTCTTTGCGGCTTCCTTACTCTTCAACGATAGCTCAAGGATGACACTTACACGCTTCCCAATGCAGGGTTAACACACCGATCAATTTGTGACAAGTCAAGTGTCACTTAACCATACATGTGTGCGTCGACATAGAATCTTCGTCATGTGCCGGTCACATCACTCGTCAGTGAGGTCAAGAGCTAGACCATCATCAACTGCCACCCCAGTATCCTCGCTACGCCTGAATTATCTCACTTGGCTTGTATGTGGGGTGCGCAACACTGACAACCCATTGTCTCTAACAGAGTAAGGACTAAGGGGCTTCAAAGGATACCTGGCCCTGGTCTAAGAGCCGCTTGTTACATATGGTTTAGTTATTACGCTACTCCGTCAGGCTTCTCAAACAAGCAAGCTTGCCTGGTATAGTGAGCTCCGCCGTTGACTCGCTCTTTCGAGTATGCTAGGGAGCTCTCCTAAGAATTAAGTACTAATATGGTCAATCCATTTTGGTCAAGCATTCGGATGATGGTATGTTATCTAGTCTTGATCGGTTCTCTGTATGATTATACCGATTGGGCGGGAAAGACCTTCCTTATCGAAGTTCAAGCGCGGAAGTATGCTACAACGAGGATAACCACATATTTTAGGGCGCTTAGCACAAGAGGTGGGAATAGGAACATGGGGCTGAACTGGACCAAGGTTTTTTCATACGGATGCATACTCAGCACATTCTAGCCTTGGCGGTCACCATTTCTCACTCACCATTCATCTCTCTCCGTTTTTGAAGGAATATCTTGGCAGTTTCGGCTACCTGCCGAACAGAAAGAAATGCTTGACATGCGGTTGGCGGCACAGCTCACCGGTCATCCTTGCGAGTTCTCATGCTCTCATTCCCCGACTTCGTGTGCAGTACCCTACAGTGTGTGGACGCGACTCCGAAATCCATTACAGGAAAAAGGCCGACAGACAGCCTACAGAGTCTGGGCGCTGCCCTACGTTGATTAAAATGGTGGATTCGAGGGAAGGGCGGGAAGGAAAAAGGAAGGAAAAGCCGCAGATTCAAATGCCGTGGTGTTATGACATCTATAGTGTCGAAAGGGGAAAACTTCAGAATCAACGACGATGGGTATTATCGACGGCTTGTGGCTACAGTAAGTCTCCATTCTACTCTCACTGTTACTTACCATACACTGCCATCGTTTTATGCTCCGCCCATTTGTCTCCTCATTCTGCAACAACGATCCCCTTCTTCTCTTTTACATTCAACACTCTTCACCTGAAAAAGCAAAGAGACCAGCTGCTGCATCTTATACAGTGAACATCTGCGCATTGTGTGCATGTAGCTAGTACCATAGCTGTCTTATGTGCGGCATGAAGAGAAAGCCATCTCTTTCCTACGTCAAGCACTGTGTGCGGAACCTCAACTCCAAGACATCGGCAGCGGCACGAATCAAGGCCTCGGCCAGCACCTGTGGGCTTGGAGGTGAAATGTTTCAGGTGATAAGGAGACAATTGGATGGGATCGATGGAAATTGCAAAAAAAGAGTTTCTTCCTGCGCCTTTTCTTCAGCTCTTCCAATATGGGCAAAGTAATTCACTTCGTCAACAATCGAGTGAACGAGGATTACATACACTAATGAAGAGACGGACAACGGGGTAGTGTCCTGAAGGACGGGCTTCAAGTCACAGGCAATCTGGATGGATGATCTTCATGACTGACAAGGCTCAATCATGCAAGGCAAAGGCAACCACAAGGCGACCGCGCTCGACCGGTCTGCTCTGCATCAGCTATTATCTTCCGTCTTCATCTTTTTGCTCTGAGTAACAGCAAGCAGGTAAGGCGAGCGTTGGGCCTCAATTTAGTGTGGGGGGAGGACAAGAGACGGGTTGGAGCCAAAACTTCCATTCGCCTGGAGTCACTGGTGACTGGAACCGGGCTGACCGACTGGACCAGACTGGTTCGATTCGATTGAGCGATGCGACGATTGCAGAGTAGAGTGGTTCTGGTGTCATGTCATGAGGCTGATCATCTGGTATGACATCGGGAATGGGGAGAAGCGGGTTGAAGCGCTGGAACCGCGGTTAATGCGGTTCTGTGATGGGTTGAGGTACGTATGTCTATCCGTCCGTACGTGCCAACTTGCAGCTACAATGCTTACACTTTGACACTCGACTATTTTCCTCAACCCCAGGCTGGGTGGGTAGTACGCCCGTGCGGATGTTGGTTGATGGGTAGTCTAGGTAAGGGATGGATACATAAGATACCTAGGAAAGTATCGGACTGTGTGTTCATTTCACTTATGAACTGCTGCTGTCCTGACGGTCACTTCAACTTGGCCGTTTACCCGCACATTCCTACTGACTCAACAGTTACTCTACTCTATTAACTCTTGTTGCGGAATGTGGGGAAAAAAAAGAGCATATGGTCACAACCATGGGGTATTCGAGTCGCAGGATTTACCTCGACCTCCATCCCATTCATCCTGTCAGATCCTCCGGCAGATGTCCCATTGCCTTACTCCGGAAGGCAACCCGATGATAGCTACCTACCCAAATGCCCCATACATGTATACCGATCTGTTCGTTTGGCTAGGTACTACACCCTCGCTGATTACCTATCCGTTCGGCATTCTCCATCGGGGGAGGAAATCAAAAGGAACGTCGCCAACCCTTACCCGCCCGTCGCCAAGCAGCTGATCAGATCAGAGATCGCGCTCAAACTCGCCATTACCCGCCCTACCTAGCTATCCGACCAAGATCCCGACCAGGTCCCGACCAGGGTCGGGAAAGAGTCCAAATACCTAAGGTCACAAGCCAAACCACCTGCGTGCCTGCCTTACCTCCACCTATTTCAGCTTGCCGCCGTAAGCACGACACATGGGCTGGAGCTACCTAGGAAGTAGGGAACTAGGGAAGTGCTTACGGCGGATGCTGTCTTCACTTCCGTCACTTCCGTCTAGAGTCGCAACCTGGTGAGCGGGTACGCTTATGGGTACCTAGGTATTTCCATTGGCCTTATCCGATATGGAGATGGGTACCTAGGTATATCCGTGGCTTAGTGTGAGTAGTCCTGGCTTAAATGGCCCGCCTGGGCCTTGATCTATGGTATCTATGTACTATCTTCGTCTTGAGAAAGTTCAATTCCGAAGCACGGAGAATGCCTACCTACCCCTAGGTAACCTCCTACTATCTCTACCTAGGAAGATCCCGTACCCGCTCTAGGTAGGCTTGTGTCAATGCTGGGTAGGTACCCGAGGCGGGAGCCGCATGAAGCATGCCGTTGACGGTTAGTTACCTAGGAATCTCAGACGCGGAGAAAGATATTCAGCAAGGCGACGTGTATGGGATGGAATCTCGCAAGCGGGCAGAGGGAGAAAGAAGTCTTATAGGAACATGTGGTGAACAGACATATGGAGATGAAGTAAAACAGCCCGAGTCAAGTGCTCCCAACCCACACGTTCGGCCTGTTCACTCCTCCGTTGAGACTCGGCCTATACCGGCTCCCGCCACGGATAAGAACTTTAGGATTTCATCTTTCAAGCGAGTCGTTCCCAAGCCATTGCCGCAGCTAGGTACATAGATCCCTCTCATCTTACGGCGCGTTATAGAGAACCCTCCTATTACCTCGATAATAACGGTTATTCGTCTCTCCTTGAACAGTAGTCCAGTGGCTGCAGTTAAGTACAAAGATTGAGGGTAGTAGTCAACTCTATCCCTCACGGTTCCTCCCAGGCAACAGGGTCTCTTCATTTCACAGCTGTCATCGCACTTGCAACAAAAGCTTTGTTGCTTCACGAAACTTTCCCTTTTGCCCACCTCCCTCCGCGTTCATAACAAAAGCCAAGAGGTTATTGTTCTTCGGTGAACGAAGTCCGTCCCTCTCTAGATGACGACCTATGTAGTACCTTTCCATACCTACCTATCTACCTACCTACCCTACAGCATTTACTCTTCTTGTCCTTGTTTCATGTTCATCTCTCTAAATGCCCTAAAATCGTCCTCGGTATATCCCTGATTCGCTACAAGAGGAAATCCATTGGGTTTAGTCAATGTCAAAAGGGGAGAGGTAGTACGCTAGCAGTGAGTGTAGAGGTACTTACTGTACGGCTCGAACTTGGCAAGCTCGTCCCATCGCTTGTTTTGTAGGTGTTCTGAGGCCGTGTGCAAGGTGCCTTGCGGGAGGTATATGCTGTGTTGGACGCCTTTGTCGTCGGTGTAGACCATGTTGTTGGGTTGTGCTGTTCGGATGGGGGTATTCAAGGGCTTGGCTTCGGTCGCTGGTGGACTTGATCCCATGATGAAGCTTGGAAGTCCTCGGAGTTGCGCAGGTTGAATTCGGACCAGTGTTGATATAGGCAGGGCGGCTTGAGGGCGGGGGAGGTGGGCTTACTTAGGGTATACTTGCGTCGTGTACGGTAATCCTTCCTGCTAAGTTGGATGCCTACTCTGCAATAGGTGCACGTCTCTCACACCTCAATCTTCCATGAACATTTATAGCGAAATATCCCACTTGAACTGGTCGGGACGACGGTTATTGGATGAGAGGTAAGCAACAGTGAATTTTTCGTTGGTTCATGAGCTGGGTCTAACTGTAACCTAACCGCAGGCTTCTTAGGGAACTTGGTATCTTAACAACTGGAAATGATCTATCGGTCCTTTTGAGCGAAATTCAGCATACCTCTAACATATCGAGTGATGATATTTTCAAAGAAGCCAAAGGTATGCTTTCATTCATCTCATAAACTACCTACCCAGCTACAGGTCTAACACGCAACAGCAAAACCACCAAGTTGGTAACCTATCACCACTCAACACGCGCAGAGTGGAGCGAATATGTCATCAACCCAACAACCCTACACCCCGCTCTTCACTGCTTATAGAGTCAGGGCAGGTCGCTTTCTACTTGCGTTACTGCTTTGCTTACCTACCACCAGTTCCCTTACAGCGTCAACGCCACCAGCGAAAGATACCAAGGCTTAGCCGTTGTTGTTGTTGGCTAAAGTAGGTAAGGGTGCTGGCGGCGCTCGGCTAAGGGGTCGTCTAGATGTCATCGGTGGTTGGCCCGCGGTACTTGCTGGCCCATTTCGCCGCAAATTCCTCAGCGGGCAGATCTAGCAGGTCGGTCATGATCTGCATGCGTTCGGCCTCGGAGCCGGTGATGTAGTAGTCGTGCCCGTCAATGGTGGCTATGTTGATTGGGACCGTCTCGATGGGGGTGTTGAGGGACCCCGAGCTCGTCAAGACGTTGCAACCCAGGTCAGCGCTGTTGCATTTGCCGCTGTCGAACCGTCGCGGAGAGATGGGTCCTGCCGAGGCAAGCCAGGCGGTGGCAGTGAGGAGAGAGAGGCTCAGTTTGAGATGCATATTGGAGATGGAGTGGGTGCTGTATGGTTGTCTGTGGTCTGGATGGATAGGAAGTGACAGACAGATAGATAGAGAGATATGGATTGACAGCGGGATGGGAAGCTAGCTCTTATAGACTGGCAACTGAAGCACCTGTCTCGACGAACGCACCGCCCGAGCACGACCAGAAAGCGACCGAGTGTTGGCCGAAGCGCTACCACGTCACCGCTTTTGCCGCTGTGATAATCATCAAGTTTCGGGGGAATGTGTACTGAAGGATTCATCTATGGATCTGTATGCACTATGAGTTACATGACATCGCCCGTTCTAGACTACGTATGTAGTAGAGGTAAGTATCGTGGTAGGTGGAACTCCACGGACTAGGCTACAACGTAGGTTTCTTGTCAACGTCGTATTATCTCGTATACTTTGGGCAACAGAGTTCTTGTTCGATACTGATTGGTGGGCAAAGGTCACTGCTGTGCTCGTTGGATCTACAAAGTCGACCATCTGACTAGCGCACCCGAAATCCTGGGACTGGTGAAGTCATGGCTTCACGACTGCCTCCATACCCAAACTTCATGTGATTCTCCTAGTCCCTTGACGCCAGCAGGAAATCCTGGCGGCAGCAGACTTCCAACCCGACTCATTGATGTTGGCGAGCTATTTGAACTGCTTTTACCTCGCCTCGTACGCACCTAAAATTCCCCGGCATTGTCTGGTCTTCAAGACGTTACTCGGGGTCACACTTGGGCCGTGACCACTGAAAAGTACAGCCTGAAGCTTTTATCGAGTAACCCTGAGGAACTCCGAACCAAAACCCCGCTGGAAGAGCTGCCCTAAACATTCCGAAAGACAATGACGTTCCTCGACAGCTTAGACACAGATTTGTCTTCATCGATTCCCTGTTTATTATCCGGAACTTTGTTGAAGACAGTGAAAGGGAGTCAATGCGGCTCTAGGGCACAATGGACTCAATGCCCCCTCGGATTCACTCCATGCTATATCCAAGAATGTTTGTACGCTTTTTCGTGACATCATCCCATACGCTTGACGGGTTGATCTCACGGGGCTGGGTCCTTCACGTGAGACCGTTTTATCACTTCGGGGACGTGGAGCTGTACTGGGGTGGTTTTGGTCGAGTCCGATCAGAGTTCCTTCTTCAAGTTCAAGGAAAATTGCATATTTGGCACAGGTTCTGATTTATGCCGAATCATCTGTCACAACGAGAAACGGCGTTCCCAGGGAGGGGATAAACAGAGAAATCACACTCGCGTTGAAGGGCTACGTGAAAAGGGGTGTATGGTCTGGCGAGCAAATGACGGAAAGCGAGCCTTTCGACATCGGAACGGCCGTGGTTGCCCGGGTCATATTCGGGACAAATGTCAAATTTAGTAAGTGACGGGCCACCCACCGACGGGGACTTCTCGCCTTGTCTGCTGGTAATCCACGAAGAAAACATCACGGATCTAGAATATGAAGAGGAGGGATTGGTCTTAGCCTCAGCGCATAGCAGAACTAATGATGGGGAAACAGGGAATATTTACGATCGAATGGGGATCACGTACAAGAAGACCAGCCTGAACGGAGACAGAATGAGCAAATTCATTGAAGGTGCAGGGGGGATGGTCACGACGATCGGCCGAGAACATTGACGGTTGGATATCCAATAAGTTCTTTGTGCCTTCCCATTTTTTATTCTTTTCCTTCTGAGTGAGTAATTTGATCCAAGAAAGAATTGTTAAGTACTCTTGCAAAGAGCACGTTGATGGAAGGTGTGTGTGTGGGTACACATCAAGTACATGGTCTTCAGGATGGCAAGTGCTCCCCTTCGTGACTTCCTCCTCTGGAATTATCTGCACTTCTGGAGAATCTGTGCGTGCGGCGGGTTTCAGAGGCAGTGCCACACAGCATTCTTCTCACGATTCAATTGAATCCTTTCTCTTGCGTGTCTCCTTCTGCCTTCGCCACGCTTTTCGGGCAATGTCGAAGGCTCCGATCGCTGTTGGCGGAAACCATAAACCAAAACCCAACATCATCCACCCTTCCCAGAGTTCCTCCATCTTGGGAGCATCATTTCAACAATGCTGCGCTCCAAAAACGCCCCAAACACCGTCATGGGGCCACCACCCCCAAAGCGCCGACCAAACGAGCCCTTGCCTAATGGTACCAAGCGGCAGCAGCAGCGTACTTCTCCCAGGCTAGCCAACAACAAGAGGGTGACCGACAATGCTTCGTCCTCGCGCCCTTCTGCTCCTCAGCCAAAGCCAGCTCAAACCTTCAAGGAGCGTCTCTTTTCTCGCCCACAGAAGAAGCGAAAGCCGACACCTGAGCCTGCAAAGGTCGATCTTCACTCCCGGCCCCAAACCACCATTGCCCCATTCTTCAAGAAGCTCCAAGCCGCCTTTGGAGAGGAAACCCAGCCTGCGAAGCAAAAGCCGCAGCATAAACCACATGAAAGGAAATCAGATTACATCCGCGTTCCTCCTCCTCCTCCTCTAAAACAGCAGCAGCAGCAGCAGCAGCAGCAGCCAACAGTCCAAACCCGCAAAAGAAAACGTGAATCCCCTGTCAAAGAAAGCAAACCCTCCTCTGAAACTGAAGACATGCTCGCCGAGCTCCGAGGTACGTAATTAGCCACTCTTTACCCCTTTGCGATTTCCAAGACCAAATACACTGACAGCAATCCTACCCCCACCAACAGCCCACTACCTAACAGCCGCCACGAATCTCCACTCCCACGCGCTCACCTCCCTCACCAAAGCGCACTCCCTCGTTATCAAAAAGCTCGACGACGGCATTGGCTCCTCCGAAGAGAAATTTCTCCAAGACGTCGAGAAGCGCGCCTCCAGGCTCTCACTGCCGTTGTCCGAGTTTGTTATTCGCTCTGATCAGCGCGGGAGTGATGGTGTAATGAGGAGCGAAAAGCATGTGATCAGCGACTTGGTGAAGAAAGTTGAAAAAAAGTTGGTGAAGGCAGAAATGGAATTGGAGGGGCTGTGGAGGGAGTGGGTGGAGAGTGAGAAGGAGATGGAGAGGGTTTTGGAGAACGTTTTGAAGGAGGTTGAAGATTTAAACACAGGCAAGAGCGGGAAGAAGGTGGATGGTGAGGGTGATGATCTGCCTGGGGCGAGCGGAGACGCTGGAAAGGCACTCGAAGCTGACAAGAGCGATGAGCGGGATATGTTGACCAAGTATGAGGAGGCTATCGAAGAGGAGGTTGAAAAGGCGGAGGAAGAAGTGACGAAGTTGACCCTTTCGACTTATCAGATGATGAAGGATCTTGAGAAGGTAAGGCTATTCCAACCATTCACTCCGTGACAAGTACTGACATCCTTTTCTCAGGATTACCGGAAGGCGATCATCCCAGATTTGCACCTCTTCTATACCTCCATCGAAGATGTTTGATGAAACTACTGCCATGTAAAAGCTTCATAGTTGGATGCAAGAAACGCGGCGGGTGGGGGGGGGGGGGGGGGGGGGGGGGGGGGGAACTCTCTTCACTAGGCGTGTCGTGTGAGTGCACTTACCAAGAAAGGGGCCATCTCAGTGTGCACATCCTGTTATGTTGATGTCGTGTCCAATTGGATTTGGGCGGCTGCGAATCTTGACGAACCATCTAAAGCAAATGGAATCGCATGCTCTTACAGCAACTGAACTGAGCGAGTAGTCAATGGGAGAGTAAATATCGCAACATGACACCAAAATCCCCTCTTTGTTGGAGTTTGTGATGACCAACTGGCACCCAGTCTTTGAATTTCTCTCGGGACCGTCTCGGTGAAACTGTCTAGCCCACATTGACAACATTGACAACATGCTACCTACCCAGATCCCCTCATCAAGGTCAAGCTCACAGTTATACTCTACAATCCACTATCCAAAGGTCGATCGCCATGGAACATCATCACATGTCACGGTCACTTGACACTGTTGTTGCTTGCCTTATTTCCATTTTTTTGTTTGGTAGTATATGAAACAAGACAAAGAGCGGTGTTTGGTAGCCATGATGGAGAATCGCATAATTGTCACCTGTATGTCCGCGTCTGGGATGGCCTTCCGGGCCTTCCGGAGGAGGTTGGGCGAGGGGAGAAGGAAACTTATAGGTGAAGAGGCGGTGATGATGCGATGGGTATATAGGCGTTTGGTGCAGTTCAGTCAGGTAGGATCTTGATTACTGTATAGGTAAACTCGCGGGGGGGTTGATTTTCAACTTTCAGGGAAATCAGGCATAGGATACTGCAACATTCATGTCCACCTGAAACTGTAGGTATGCAAGACGGCGATTTCGAATGTCTCCACCCCTCTCCAGTCCAGCGCTTCTCGAAAAGAAAGGTTAGAAAGAAGCATGCAGGGCGTCAGAGAAATCGAACTGGCAGCTGAGTACCTACTTCGGGGTAGTAGCATGTCTCTTCCACTTATTATGGCGGATATGAAATGTACATTTTCGGGCTGTATATTCACAGATTATTATGCCTGATTTACCTGAAAGTTGATGATTAACCCCTGATTTTTATGGTATATCTACATCAGGGGCGTTGAAACGTGTATACACGAAGTGTAATAATGTGTGTGCGTATATTGTCACAAAGAATAGAAGATTGATGGATTGGTTAGTTTAACAAAGGTACCGCTGTTGAGATGAATGTTGGGTAATAAGTATCATCTGGGGAACACTGTGATAAAACGCGGAGTGTTGACCGAGTTATGATGACAGGAGTAGTTCCGTTTCCTAGAGAAATCATGATGCGAAGTAAACGTGCCAGTGTATAGAATAGTCGTTAGAGAAACATTTGTATGGTAGATTGCCTTGATATGGTCCTCCAGCGTCAAATGTTGATGGGACAGTTTACTTGGTGTCGCTTCAAGCGTTCGCGTAGAGCTTTGGAACTGTATGATGATGCTCGGATTTTTTGGCCATCAATTGAACGCTTCACATCTGGCTCGTTGTCCGGGTTCTCTCTTTTTTCTTTTCCTTTTTTTCTTTTTTTTTCTTATGGTCTTTCGTCACAGTGAGGTTCTGCAATGGATGCAAACCAGTGGTGAATGTGTTCGATGTGATATTAGTTAGGACGAGGTCCACCTTCGATGTCAATAAGAAAAAAATTCTGTCATTATCTGAAAATGTCTCGTCGACGTTCGAGTAAACGATTCCAATTCCGAACGTGAATGCAGCGGCAGCCCATAATGTATCACACATTCGCCATCAAGTGCCGGTAGTCCCTCGTTGCATTGTTTTGGAATCACGGCAAGGACCGATGTGGTGGTAGTGTAAGTGGAACTGTCAAAGAAGTGACAGGTCGACAGCTACATACCCCACAGATGATAATAATGAGGGGGAGGGCATCCTCAGTCGTGAATGGCGCTTTCTTGGGAGAAGATGGCTTTTCTGACGCCCGGCCGTCAATAACCTGACACTAATAATTATGCGCCTAGTCTTCTTTCCCTTTGTGTTAGTTTGTATGCTTTGAGACAGGTCACTGTCCAAAAGGGTAGCAAAAGGATTCAACGTGGCTGGTGTTCTTATCGTAGTGGAAGAAGCCCGGAGGACACATATAGAGGGGCGAGTCAAAAGTTCCGCGGACGGCCGTGGCCTAGTGTTGAGCTGTCTCTCAGCGGCAAACAACCCAGAAGGTCGTATTGTTGAGGATGCGAAGTCTATCCCTTTTCGAACGTACGTCTTAGACAAGGTGCGGTCCGAAGCGAGGCTGTGATGTGCGTACACAGTTCCTGATACGTGAGTGGCTGATAAAGATTGATTGGTAAAGGGCGCCGGGATCAGAACTGCCCTGGCGTCCAGCTTACACGGCGCAGGCTGGGCAAAGGGCCGAAAGCAGCAAACGACTTCCAGGAAAGTTTCAAAAACACAAATCAGAGCTAGGATAGATATCCAAGAGGCAACAAGTGGCTGATTCCCAAGTGATGAGAATTCTGTGATCTTGGACGCACGGCTTACCTGCATGGAACAGAATAAGGTTAATTCCATGAGGCTTCGACTGGCCTACCTCTCTCTCTGATAGGCAAGTCGATGACCCTGCGGTATCAGATTGAACCACAAAGTTTATTTGAAATACGTCTCGGATCTGGCAAGATTTGTAATATCGAGATCACAAGATCTTGTGTCTGATTGAGGCCATGACTCTGAAGTGAGGGTATCCCCAGTGTCCAAGACGAACAGCAAAGATCGGCAAGCAGCTCGCTTGTCCCAACTGGAACTGGTCTGTCTCCAGCACACGACCATCCATCCACCTCTCCAGCCCCCGGAAACATGATTGTCAGAAAGGAAGAAGACTGACTCAACTGCTGCACAAGCTTACCGCCTCGAGACATGCACGCAGGACATGGAGAAAACCCCTCCATCCGTCGAATATACATCAGCCGGGCCATCCGTGAGCTGTGACGTACCCAGTCACTGTCCGTACCTAGCGCACCAAGCGCACCAGTGACAGACTGACAGATGAGATGCGATTCACGGATTGCCCACGTGCTGTCAAAAGTTGTTGACCAGCTAGCCGGATCAAGCCTGGTGCTGGTAACCAATGGTCTGGACAGCTCTGGTGTTGCTTTCGCTTGTGGTCTTGGAACTGAACGGCGCTGTGTCGGGCCCGCGGGGGGGGCGAAAGTGTTGTGGGAGAAAGTGGAATTGAGCGAAGCCTCACTCACCATGGAAGACCGACAACGGACTGACCGCCTCCAGTCGCGGGGTGCTGTGCGTTGCCAGAATGGAAGCGGAACCTTGATGGCCCAAGCTTCCCAACTCTTGTTGAGCAGCTGGGCCACCCCCTGTCAAAGCTTCCTACATAGCTGTTCAGGGTCGCACTTTCCCCCCAGACTTCCCCACTGTCTCAGGAACACACGGCAGACAGCCCGCCAAGCTCGGTAAGGCAACTGGCAGGCAAGTGCGAATCTGGCATCTGGATCACAAGTCGTTGAGATCTTGTGACTTGGTTGGAAGGCAACTCACGAACCCCCCGACCCCCCTCCTCCCTGGTGCTGGGGGCTGTTCCGTCGTGGCCGTACGAGGAAAGGGTGGGTTCGGGATGCTTGGTGTCCAGCAACGATACTGCCTGGGTGCGAACTCCACAAACTCCAGTGCAACACCCCCCCCCAAGACGACCATCTCACCGGCTCCAAAACCTGGGGCTTTGGTAAGTAGTCATTGTGCGTGTCAGTCACTGCTAGGTATCCGGATGCCCGAAATGGTGGCGATCCGGGTCAGTCAAACCTGTGAAACTCGGGGCAGAGGAAGAATGGAAGGCCGCGGGAACACAAAGCTGCAGCCATGGGCTGTTTGACGCTCGAGAATACTCGGGATTGCGCACTCGCATCTACGTCGTCATCGGCTCATACAGCGGACCCCCCCTCCCCTAGCATGGACCTTTCGGTCCTCTGCCCATTCCATCTCGGGATGCTGCGAGATGCTGGGACTAAAAACACCAAAACGGACGATCAAGGCCATGATAAACATTGTAACCCTGGCAACCTCCAACGTCGCCATGTCTAGTGCAGACATGGTGCCAATCAAACACCATGTCCTCGTCCCCAGGCCTCCGACCATCACTTACATAAGAAAGAGGGGTCCGTAGTCTGGGGACTTTGGGACTTGGAAGTGATGGGACGGTCAACTTATCAATCGCCACAGAAACACCCAATCGCAGGAGGGGGTGGCATTGGACCTGTATGGCGAGCTGTACCATACAGTATGTAGTATGGGGATGCAAGAGCGATGTGCCGGTTTGTTGTCGAGCGGCGGCAGTCGTCTCCAACAACAACAACGCACGAGTCAACCTGTGAACTCTTCACGCAGATCAAAGTCGAATCCCCATTGCTGCAATCATGCATGCCGCCAACTCCAAGCTTCCCTGTCCCCTCCTTTCTTTCTTGACATCTTTTGTACCCCCCCTCCCCCCTGTCAGTGAGTGTTCTCCTCAGATTGGCTTTGGTCTGCCCAGATCTCTCGAGTGAGGGTCCCGGAGGTCCGTTCCCGGCCTCGACTTATATCGACTGCTTCTCTCCCCCAGCTTCAGTCCCCAACATCCTCAACATCTCGTCAGCCCCCTTGTTCAATCAACTCTGAACTCAAATACCAGCCATCTCTCTCCTCTCGACTCATCTTCTGTCTCTGTCCTTTCATACTCTCAATCCTCGCACCTCTTGGACATCAAATAGCCATCCGGTGAAGCACTCGACACAGCTTTCCGAATCGGGAAATCATTCATACTGTGTAATACATATCAACACCACACAACCAACCACAACAACAACATCAGTCATGTCGAGAATCGCGGCTCCCGTCACAAAACTCACCAGGTCTTTGAGCACATCTCCTGCTGTTGCCAAGCCCAGCTTTATCCTCAATGCCACCAGCAACGTCAGCAGGACTGAGAGTCTTGATGTAAGTTCCCTCCCCCTTTGTTTCTCTCCTCATTGCTCCTTTTCCACCTCTGCCCCTCCATCTACATGACACTGCCACATTTCCTTGGACCATGGTCTCCAATTGCGGACTTCCCTCACCACACGGCACCTATCAGATAATCGAACCATTATCTCCTATCATCTTCCCGTCCTTGCAGCATAAGCACCCAATTCGGGAAATGCTCTCTCACCAACGTCCCGTTCACTCCCGTCCACACCACCAAACTCAATGTGAATAACCATGAGACTAACAAATCCCACCAGGCCCGTACCCCTCGCAAGGTTCCCCTGATGCAAGGCTTCCGCACCTCGGCCCCTACCAACGCCTCCATCAACCCCTCCTTCTTCGCCAACGGCATCGACGCCGTCGTCCTTCCCAACCTTGCCGCCACAGAATCCAGCCATGCCTCTGCTTTCCACCCCACCTACTTTGACACCATTCGTGTCCCCCTGCTCCCAGACAACAAGACCCCTCCTCCCCCCACGGTGCAGCGCATGCCGCTCTTTGACGAGCTAAAACCCGAGCAGCGCGGCGAGGTCGCCTCTGAGGGTGACGCTGACCTGATGGCCAGCAAGCCCGCTGTCGCCGTCGTCGCCAACAAGCCCGGCCAGGTGCTCCCCGCCTCGCTCAGCCAGGAGGTTGTCGACTTGGACAACTGGACTGGTGCTGACTGGGTTAGCCTGGGCTTCGTCCGTGACATTGCGCGCGACGAGGCTAAGGCGCAAGAGGAGCAGGCTGGTAGCCAGGGTATGATTAGGGATCTGTGGAGTGGTATGGTGGAGGATGTGTTTGGCGCTCGTGCTAAAGGTGGCTCCAAAGCTTGATGTTCTCTCTCTCTCTCTCTCCACTAAACGCGAGAAGATTTCATTGAGTTTTTGATCACTGGAGCGAGCGGTAATGGGTTTGACACATGGTCATGGGTTTCCTTTTTTTGCATATGAGTACCTCTATGTACACGACTGGGTCTCTTGTTGTTTGGTTTTGGGCGGAGCAGGTGTTTTGGGTCCTTTGATTGTTTTCTTACTGTCTTCTTTCCTTGTCACGATAGGTGGAAGACTGGCGACAACGTCTCAAGCAGTCTTGTCTGTCTTTTGGATAGTTATTACTTACTACCCTACGAGCGAATCACTCGTGGGCTCGCTGACTCGATAACGGAATTGAGAAAGGCTAGAGCCTCGAAATTCATCATCATTTAACAATTTTTCACATGTTTTTACGTCCGTGACGGACAGTGATACTTGCGCTTGTTTTCTTGATTACAGGTTTACCTGTCATAATGCCAGTCCAATGTCATTCACATACATTTCCGTCACACTGCTAACATGCAATCTTGGCATATTCACAAGTCTCGACAATTATCTTCCGAATCCCCTCATTCTTACCATCTTTACTCGTTCCTAGCAAACCAAACCATATTAAGTAGACCCCCCCCCCCCCCCCCCCCCCCCCCCCTTACCCCAGAACCGATAAGCAACTTATGTTCAAAATGCACGACATCAACCTCCAGTGCCTCCTGTCTCCTATCTCCTGTCAGGTCTCCACAATCCCCGGGTCCGATATGTATGTATGTATGTATGTATGTACGTATGTATGTATGTACGTATGTACGTATGTATGTATGTGTGTAATATATACCAGGATCACATGCTCGCTTTGCCTGTTCATATAATCAAGTCACATGTTTACCTACTAAATTACCTACTTACTTACCTACTTACCTGGTATCTACCAAACCCCAAAGCCTCGCAAAGAGGTCCAGACTACCTAGGCTACGTACCGGACATTCAACGCCTACGTCAACTTTGAACATGCCGCTCGTTAAGTCAAGCCTCGTCGGGGAACTGAATTGGTGGGAGCTTTCATGGACGGGGCCGGGGTTCCGGTTACGATTTGGGAGTGCCGATTCCGATGTTGGGTAGGTAGGTAGGTACCTGGTAACTGTTACGTACCTAGAGGTGGTCTTAACGGGAGGGGAGAGTTTGTTCGCGTCGCAGCTTGTGCAGTGTGTGCAGTGTGGTTCATGCCCTAGACTTGGGTATATAGTACATAGTGAGTGTACTTTGCTTGCAATGCCACTCGATATAGGTGCTTTTAGCTTCATTCATGTAACGGGACATACTGTAGTAAACGCTGGGGAATCAAGTAGGCGTGATGCTGTAGTTAATTCCAAGTCCAATTTGTGGATTTGTAGATTTGAGGATTGGAGAATCGGATAAAAGTCATGTAGGTAGTGTACGCAGTAGTGTACAAGAGAGGGAAAGGGAGAGGTAGTGTAGTGTACAAGAGTACCAAGGCAGAAACAAAGTTAGGTTAGGTTAGGTTAGATTAAGTTAAGTTAGGTATATTAGAGGTGAAGGTAGAGGTATTGCATGTTCTAGAACACTCCTCGCTGTCGTATGTGGCTTTTGCTTCTCGTTTCATGATTCGAGAGTCCAGTTTCGTATTAGTGTAAACACAGCGGAACACGACGAAACACGAGGGGACAATCAACTAGAACATTGGTTGTTGATAGGGGGTCTGAGTGTCTGGTGATGTCAATGATGTCATCGAAGGTCAAATTGTCTGTCATGAACCGACGGCACAGACTCGACTGTCTGTGGGGATTTGAGAAACGAATGAAGCTCGGTGCTTTTCATGGATGGGCTCTTAAACGAATGAGAAAAAAAGAAAAAAAAAATACAAGTAACAAGAACGAGCTGATCTATGGCAATAACTGAATCGTCGTGGTCGAGTGAAGAGTCCCCAGTGACTATGAAGTCATGGTGGCTTGAACGGGCTTGATACACTACTTACCATCTTTAAGGTTTTCGGTGCGAGATACAAAGGTCAACGAACATAGCACGTTAGTCGGAGAGTCTCTATTTGAGTTTCTGGTGTTTAGTTACGTCAAATTTCAATCAGATTGCTACCTTGATGGACACTCGTGTATATTCAGTCCGTCATCAATCACGACATGGAAAAATGGAAGACATGTTCACGGATCTGAAATATAGCTCAGTCAATCTCTACTCGTTACACTTGAAACCCATTGATTAACCTAACTGCCTAAACTACCAAATTCATAAAAGAAGTCGCGCTGCTGCTTGCTTCCTCTTCCCTTCGTTCCTTGCCGTGTAGACCTCTGGTATCGTTGATTCTTGTCATCCATCACTTTCGTACCGTCTCTTCGGCCGTTTCCACACTACTATAACATGACCTCCTCCATGCTTTGTCCCTATTTATTTTTGGTCCCTAGTCTAGAAAGGAGATGAAGCACCCTTTCCTTATCCAGATACTCCGGATAGCCAACTTTCCACATCACTCTTCGTAGCTCCTTGTGCGTCTTACATGCAGTTTCCATTTTCTTCTATCCCTGTTCGCCGTCGTCAAGTTATGCCCCTACCTCTTCTTAACGCTCGGACGGGGCTTGCACTCGTCCTGCTGTACTGGGTGAAGCATGACCTTGGTCGGGTACGTGGGCGAGTTGCCTTGGTAGCCCTTGCTCCAGTCATAACTAATGGCGTAGGCAAAGATGCTGCCGGTCTTGTTGAACGTTGTCGAGGTGATGCTGCCGCCGACGTTGGGGTAACCCTTGAGACGGTGCTTGGCGTCCTTGTCCCAGAAGTGGAAGGTGCCGTCGCTACCGGCTGTGCTGAAGGTGCCGTGTTGGGGGTGGAAGGAGATGTCGTTGACAGCGTGGACGGCCGTGGTGTTGCCTTGGGCGGGGTCGCGGTGGCACTTGAAAGAGAAGTTGGAGCTGGAATAAGAAGTTTGTTAGTCGGCGTGTCCGGCAGATGGGATAGTAAAGGGGGAGGTGAAGACGTACGCAGAATCCTTGTCCTCCACATATTGAATGGCGCATCTACCCTCGATCGAGCCGATAGCAAAGCCCTGAGAATCGTTGAAGCAGCTGACCACACGAGTCTGCCATTTAAGAGGGCTCTGCATTGTCTTGTAGAACTTGCCGGGGTCCTTCAGGTTGATCACGTTGATATAGCGATCAGCGGTTCCGACCACGAGCAAGTTGTCGCGCACATCCATGGTATAAACGCGCTCCTGGGCCTGCACCGTGGCGGCCGGATTCGCGGAGCGGAAATCCCAGTACTTGATCTGCTTGTCCCAACCACCTGTCACCGCCATGGGCGTGCCATTGGCCTCGAAGTAGCGAACGCACTTGATGGGCATATCGTGGGCAGCGACCTGCATCGACTGACCGGTGGCCAAATCGAGAACCTTGGCGGCCTTGTCGGCGCCGGCGGAGATGACCTTTGTGCCGTCCTGTTGGGAGAGGTGCATGTCAGTGTTTTGTCGGACTACCAAGCCAACCGAGGCAAACATACCTTGAAGAAATCGCAAGAGAAAACGGGGGCATCATGCTCAATCATGGCCTGTCCCTGACCTTGACCATTACTCAAGATCTCGTAAATGCGTGTCTTCTTGTCCCAGCTGGCTACGGCGAGGAAGTCCTTCTGGTCGGCGGGATTGGGGTTGAAGGCAAGGTCGCTGATGCTGTCCTCGGGGGGTTGGCCGAGCTCGACATCCTGCTTGAGATCGCCGAGGGTGTTGCTCGCGGATGCGGCGGCGGAACCGAAAAGACCAGCCATGTTTGGCTTGTGCTGGGAGTCGTGAGACTCGAGCTGGGCAGTATAGAGCTGTCGCGCGTATCGTATGTTGTGGTCGTGATAAAAAGCCGTTCGTCTGTTGCTACAGGGTCTGAAGCTGTGCAATGGCGCAAAGCAGCTTCTTATGTATCGGTTGTTGAGATAGAACCGCTTCGAAAGACGGTTCGGTAAAACTACTAAGCAGCAGCGACAGGTATTGCTGCTGGCTGAGGTATGATGGAATCCAAGTCGCGGGTCGGGTCGCGCTTTGATAGTGGGATGGATGGATGCACACACGCCAGCCAGCCGGCAGAAAGTTTGGAGAGAGGCTGCAACCCGACTCCAAGTTGCCTGCCGTTGCCTGCCGTTAGGTTGCCTGGCGCTGCTGCCTTTGGTGGTGTGCAGTGACCAGTCACTAGGTTCACACTGCACCGTGGCTCAGCAACACTCATCGACCAGTCCTCACTGCTGATTGGACAATCAGCTCCACCTTGAACCACAAAGACCCACCCCCCGCCGCGAGTGCCATTTTTAAGAAAATTTCGGGACCGCAAACCACACTTTTCCCTTTTCTTCTCCTCTCCAAGCAACTCCCCCTCGTCCGACAAATCGCTATTCGAAGCTTCCACACGGAGAGATGACGCTTTTTTTTGCGCGCTTCTTTCATTTCCTTGAGCTTTGGGAGAAAGTCCCCGGACATTCGTTCGCTTGCGAACGGATTGCGGAAACGCGCCGCCATAGAAGCACTGCGGCTGATCTCGGCCGCCCAGTTCCTCGTCTGTCTTGCTCAGCCCTGCCCGTCACACCAAAGTCGGCCTCGTCTGCTTCTCCGGTGAGGGTGTCATACTTCGAGCTCGGGGACCACATGGACAAAGATATGAGTCCGCGCCTCGGGTGACGAGTTTGATGCCTGATCTGGGGAGCTGGGATCGATGGCGGGTTCAGCCGCTTGGGTGGTCCGGACTTGGGGCGTTTTGACGGTGGCTCGAGAGGTTTCGTCATGATACCACAGATATGCGATTGCTCGCTCTTGTTTCTCTTCGGGGAAGCAGGGGCGAAGTTACTCGACGGGGCTTATTCTTGGTGCGAGGGGGGTTGCTTCACAACAACCCATTTCTTTCCCATCTTTGCTTTCTTCGCTTTGTTCTGACCTGGACATGCGACGTGGTTTGGATGGACATCTTTTGAAACTCTAGACTTCGCGGGAAGTCCCCAACCCGTTCATCCGATCATGTCACATTGTCTTGGCTGGCACAAACGTAAAAGCATCTGCTACGATCTGGGGGGCTTCACAAGTTCAGGTGATGAGAAACACAATAATAGAGTCAAGCTCTGAAGTGGTGCCGGGGTAAATCTTCGCGCATCACCCTTGATGACTCTTATTGAATACGATCTGATGAACTTTCCAAGCGTTTGCTTTTTTGAATGATTCAAGCCTCCTCTATCATTACGTAGTACTAGTCTAGCTTCGTCCACTCCTCGTTGACACCGTTTATGATGCTCGTGTCTCATAAGCATTCCCTGGCATATTAAAAGCCGTCTATCGTATTACATCTCCGTGACTCGGTCTATCCAAGTCCGTTGTCGAGATTTGCCCTTGCTCCGGATGCCGATGGTTTGTGTAGCGCGTACGGCGTCTCTACTCCTTTTGCGCGGCGATGGCCTCCTCTTTCTTCCTCTGCTCCTCCTCCAGCAACTCGCGCTCCCGGTGGGCGGCCTCGATGTCGGCCTTCATGCCCTTGGCCTTCTGGCGAGCCTCATAGAGATCCCTGCTCTTCATGATTCTCTGGACGATGGTGCCGGCATTCACGTCCTTGTACTCGTGTTGGCCAATCTCCTTGTAGATGCCCATCTCCTTAGGAACCGCGTACACGTCTTCGGTGTGCGGCATGAACGAGGTCGGACCGTGGTAGACCGCATCAGGAGTGCCCCAGGGAAGAGAGGTGAGATAGCCCTTGGTTGGCTTGAAGGGAGCGCCGAAAACGACGGCGTTGATGTACTGTAGCAAATGTCAGCATCAATCTCTTGACGACTCTGTTTGATGAAAACATACCTTGCACTGCAAAACGCAGAGACCACGCTCAAAGACGTTCATGATGGGATAGTTCACGCCCTTTTCGCGGTTGATGACCTCGTCATCATGAACACCAGCCACCACAAATGCCGGACCGTAATCCGCACCCTTGCCTTTCCTCTCGTCAATCGCCTGCTGCGAATACCACCCCTCCTGACGCGCCAGCTCCTCCTCCTTCTGCGTCACCAGCCTCAGGAACTCAATATGTCCGCTCGAGAACAAATCAAACCCTCCATCCACATAAACAACCCTCTGCCCCGGCTTGGGTCCAATCCCCCCAAACAACTCCCTAAACACCCCCTTCTCCTCCTTGCCCTCATCCTTCTTCTTCTTCTTCTCCTCCCCCTTCCAAAACCACACATTCGCCCCGGGGTTCTTGGCCGTCTCGTCCGTCGCGTACAGCCGGATCCTCTCCTTCATCTCCTCCCCAACCTTCTTCTTCTCCTCCGCCGTCCCATTCCCTTCCTCCCCTTCCAACATCTTTTCCAAATCCTTGATGAAATGCGTCCGCGTGCACAACAGCATCCTCCCCACCAAATCCGTGGTGCTGATACTCGGCGTGCGCTTAACCACCTTGAACCGATTCGCCGCTTTCACAAACCGGTAGCAATCCTCGCCCGAGCTGTCGGACGTGATGTCGTCCCCGTGCACCACGTACTTGCACCCGAAATGGCTGATCCAGTCCAGCTGCGTGACGTAGGGCGCATAGGCGACCGACTTGGTCACCCACCGGCAGGCGTCGGTGGCGAGCAGACGCTCGCGCAGCGTCATGACTGTGGGCCCCTTGTTCTCGAGGATGGCTTCGTCCGAGTGCACGCCGACGTACAGCTCGGTGCCGAGTTGGCGGGCCTGCACGACGGCGCCGGCGTGGCCGTGGTGGAAGAAGTCGAAGCAGCCGTCGACCCAGAGACGGCCTTCGAGAAGGGAGGGGGCGGGGGTACCCGGGGGATTAACGGGGTCGGAGGGGGCCATTGTTGGTGTTTGGATTGTTTGGGTTTGGGATGAATGTGGTGAGTTAATAATGTCCCTTTTGCCGTGGGTTGGGTTGTAAACACCGGTAGTTTATGAGATGGTGTTGGGCTGTGATGGCTTGAACTAGGTTATCCTGTTTTGTGGTACCTAGTACAAGAAGGGATACTTGAAGGGTTTCAAAAAATAAAAGTTAATCCAAGAACGGTTTGCTGAGGCTCGTAAGGAATGAGTTCAGTGATTAGTGATTAAAAGAAGGGTGTTCCTGAAACGTGATGAAGGAGAGAAGGCGTTGTCACGAGGAAGCTGTGTTGATCAGTAGGTACCTGAATAAGACCAATGATACCCTATCAGTCCTACCCCTTTTGTTGCCCCCCTCTTTCTAATCTGCCCCTCCCCCACTTATTCATGGACAAAAAATGGTGAGGCCACATGGTAACACTTTATGAATATACGTGACAGAAACCAAGGTTTGTTTATTTATTTCACCGCTTTTGTCATTATGCGTGGGTGGGCGTATTAGTCTCGTGCCGCGTCAATAAACGCATTGTTCTGGTCCTTGAGCGACAGTTTGTTTGCAAGTTAAATTGTACGGCGCTTGTTCCGTCCTTCCCGCCCAACAACTTAACTGCGGCCCAAACAGCGACCCGATCGGTTCCTTCCATTCAGCAGCATGCTGTGTTTGCCCATTTGAGTGGTGAACTATTGGAGGCTCCTTTTCAGGGTCCAATTCCTTGTTCAAGTTGCCAACAGTTGTTGTCAATGTTCTACATTCCATTCAGCTTGCCGGAAAGGGCACCACTGTTGGGCTCGCCAGAGACGTTTATTTTTTTATTTCTCAACGATTGAATTGTAGGCCACTGGCAATGTTTATCACGAGCTTCTTGGGACGAAAAGTCTCAGCTTGGCTGTCTAAAAGTCCCAGGAGATCTTTCGTTTGCCGGCCAATGCTCTCATCGAATTGCCACGAGCAGCCGGGCGATTAATGTCTCTGACGGGCGGTAACCGGGATTCCGTTGCTCCCATTCCTCGGACTTCTGCGGCTGGCGGCTGCTGATTTGCGATCAGGCGGACAAACGGACAGGAAAAGGTCGCACTCCCGTTTTGTCGTGGTTGTCGTCAGAGCTTGGGCCCAGTCTTTGATGGTAATAGCTTTTTTTTTTTTGGAGGCATTTTATATCGAGTCGGGACCCCGTGGGTTGTGGGCAATCATATCTTGTCTCTTCTCAGAACCTGCGACACCTCGAATAGGTATCCCATGTGAACGAACGACGTCGTCTTTCTGGATATCCACAGCATCGAATGTGGCCTGCCGAGGATACCTTAGCTTGCGGGGATGCGCAGCGGAGAGGAAGCTCGAGCCCCTGGTGCGCTGACAGGTCAATGACAATTGCCAATATTCGATCAGCAAAATAACGTGTGAGACATGCAGCGAACCAGTCCGACGACATTGCCTCTTTTTGGGGGGGAAGAAGGAGAAGAAGGAGGGAAAAGAAGAAGGAGCAAGGGCAAGGGCAGTGGCAATGGCGATAACGACATGATCGATCCTTCATCTCCTCCTCCTCCTGGAAGTGGGACAGATGCTCCTCCCCCGGTCCCCAGCAAATCGCCCAAATCTCCCTGGAATAATAGCCCGTCGTCTGGGAGATCGCGACCGCGACCGGGGACCAGTTCGGGCGCTGCTGCTGCTGCTGCTGCTGCTGGCGGAGACGCCAAGTGGAATCCAATTCCAATTCCAGCTCCCTCGCCGTCAGGGGTGCAGGGCCAGGGACCCGTTCAGGCACAGGCACATGCACGGGGGCAACCACCACTACCGCCGTCAATACCACCACCTCCATCATCATCACCCAGTGCAGCGCAGCACTCGCCAATCACAGCCGCCAGGCCCAGCATTAGCCAGGCTAGCGCCAGCACCAACGGGAATAGCGCCGCTGGTCTACCAGATCCCCGCCAGCACAAGGTCCTCCACAAGGACCCTAAAGATCCCAACACCCAAGAACGCGAGAATCGCGATCGCCAGCCTTCATTCGGTCGCAAGTCGTCCCTTTCGTCCCTCATCCACCGACATCGCCGCGCCGCTTCGTCCCTATCGACATCCGGAGCCCCAGGGGGAAATGGCCCTGGCAGCGGAGCCGCAGCAGTGACGAGTCGATCCCGAAAACCGTCCCTTCAACCCGTCGGCACCACCAGCCACAGCTCCTTCAGCTCCAACTCGATCCCGCCCGTCCCCGGCATTGCGCTGGCCGCCTCGCGACTGACCGACGCCGTACGCCCCCCGCCGTCTGCCACCACCGAGACTGTCAACTTCTCGAGGATGTTGAGCCGCAGCACGCCCACGCCGGTGAATGGCTTCGGGCCCAGCACCACACAGTTAGCGCCTCCCGCTATGGTGGCTCCCGGGCCCCAAAGCGAGCTGGGCGAGGTGCACGCGCGTATACAAGAGACGGCGAACAAGAGGATATCGACCTTGGATTATCTGCGGAAAGCGTACATCTCCCCACCCACGCTGTCAAAGAGCTCTCATCATATGCTAACCATGTCTCCTTTTTCTTTTGCGCAGTCACGAAGGCCGTATCTACTGGTTCAACACGATCCTCTTTGACAAACCCGACTTACAAAAGATGCCTTATTTCAACAGCACCAAGTTGGGCAGAAGAGCAACCAACTACCTTCTCTTGGGTCTCTCCCTACCCACCGTTCTCGATCTCGTCTGCAACAACCCTACCGACTTTTTGCGAAGTCTGAACCACCTCCTAGCTGAGTTCGAAACCTTCCAACAGCTACACTCGGAAAATGGCACAGCCTCAGCCAGTTCCCTATCACGGGCCCGCATCCCGCAAATGTTCCGACGAGCTACGCCCAGCGCCAAAACAAGACGAGCAAGTAGTGCGACTGGCATGGGAGGAGGCAGTAGCAGCACCACCGTGAACGGATCCAGCACCCCAGCGATGCCCATCCCACCACCGACAGCGAACGGCAACGATCCTAACGACTTTGGTTACGCTCTTGAATCCGTCCCCTCCCACACGGGTACTTTTGACGAGTCTATGCTCACCACCACCACCACGAATTCGGGCGCGGGAAACACTTCCACTTCGACAGATAAGACGACATCAACAAGTAGCAGCGGCATTCCCTCGTCAACCTCAGCAGCATCAACCGCCCCCTCGACAACAGCGTCCACCATTGCTGGCGCCCCATCCTCGGGTCAGACCGCACAGCCAACAACATCATCCGCCAATTCCCCAGCACCCATATCCTTCTCGCCAGCCGAGCAAACCGAGCTGCTTCCAGGAGAGGAGTACACACACTTACTAACGCCTAACCTACCGTTTGATCCGGACTTTTTCGAAACTTTTGCGACATTGTGTGACGTTTTAATCGACACTTATACGAGGCTGCTATCACTGGTACCCACGCCCAGCCAGTGCAACGGCACAGTGGCCGAGTTGTTTACCAAGGCGGACGCCAAGATCCGCAAGATTATTGTTCAGGGAGTCATCAAAGAGTTTGAGGAGCAGAGTCGAGCAGGGGTGAGGGCGGAGGTGGGAGCGGTAGGGAGAGTGGTTTTGGGGGGTTTGATGTGAGTGTTTCTTGTGCGATGCGTGATGTTTGTGATGTTGATGTTTGTTTTGACCTTGTTTGATGTGTGATGTTGCCTTTTTTTTGGGCGATGGTGTGATGATTATGTTTCTTTTTTGGGCAGGCTTATGTGTGAAAGCAAAAGTATTGGGCAGGGCAAAGAAAAATTCAGGGGACCGGGGGCTATTGTGTTTCAACGCTTTGGAGTTTCTTTTTGCTTACACTAGCTTCGCGAGAGGTCGTGGTGTGGTTTCATTATATCCTTATCTGTTACACTTCACTGTTACTACACGCCTGTCTCACCTACGGACCCAAAACCCCAAAAAGACACACGCCGAAGACGTTTAAGGGGTCCAAAGGGGCGGCCTTGCCATCCATCCATGTCCAAAATGCAACACAACGCAACCAAACTGCCATGAAACAACGACCGAACGAACGACCAACCATACAAAGTGGAACACCGAGCTAATTTATTCCGATTCCAAAACACAGGGAAACTGCCCCCTTGGCAGAACGAGCCAAAACCCTAGACAGGGTCGTGGAAAGCAGCAACGAGAGCGGCAGCGGCAAAGGCAGTCACAAGAGCAAGAGGTACTCCTAGGTGGATGAACCTTCTAATGTCTCTGATGATGACGACGACACTTTTGACGACACCTTCGTTCTTGTCGGCGACGACGACGATACTGAAGGCGCAACCGAGGTGATGAGCCTTGTCGAGGTTCTCGGGTCCAGTCCACCACCTCCCCGTCGGAGGATGATCACGGCCGGAACGACTCCGAGGAGCAGTCCTTGTGGCTCCATTCCCATTGGCCCTCTTGGTCCTCTTGGTCCTCCTCCTCCGTTGAGGTCACCGAGTTGGGCGAGCCAGGGAAACAGGACACCGAATTTGGCTAGGAAGAGCTCCATAATGAGCTTTAGGTCGCTGAGGAGAAAGGTTTCGAATATTAGTATTGGTGGTGGCGGTGGTGGTGGTGGTGGTGGTGGTGGTAGTGGAAGTCAGGAAAGTCTGGAGTAAGGAGCAAGTAATGCCGTTCCCCAGAGATTATGTCAACAACCGCTATGAGGGAGGATTCGTTCATCCATCGGGTGGGGGTATTTGACCCATCGTGTGTCCCAAGATTCTCTAATAATCTTTCCGTGAAAGGGAAAGCAAGGAGGCATTGAAATACAACGACACGCAACCAAAGGACATACTGGGTAGATAGAAGTGGGCGGGGTCGTAAAGGCAAAGATGGAAAGCCGAACGAAGAAGGAAACATCATCAAGTTTCATTAGAAGAAGATCAAGATACCATTCTGTTTTAGTTCCATAGTTAGGACTACACTAGTCGATTCAGACACTTTACTCTGGGTCTAATAATGTTTATATGGCATTTTAGAGGGACGTTGTTTGCTTGTGTGTTTGTTGCTGGAGCGTGTGTGAAAGACACAAAGGGTATCGATGGATGGCTTTGTGGTTTACCATACACCGGAGTTTAGTTTAGTTTAGTTTAGTATGAGACTTTGTAGTACTGCGTTGCAAGACTCGATCTGACGTATTTAACTAGGTAGGTTCAGGTAGGTTCAGGTATCGTCGTCAGTGACAAAAACAACTGAATCAGAAAGGCGCGCCATAAATAGAGGTATCACTTTGCTTGTAGTTAGTGTACCTAGGTACTCAATGGCTAGGTAACTTGTTGAAGTTTCTAGTCTGCGTGCATCGTCAAGCTCGTAGGTAGAGGTACCTACCTATCTGACAGTCACCTGAGGTACCACCTACCTATCACACACAAGAGTGGTGTTCTTGATATGACGGGCAAGTTAGATACCTAGGTAGGTAGGCTGGGGTAAGTACCGAACCTTAGGTACCTAGGTACTCATCCTACCTGCTATGTACGTCGTGGTTGAAATCTCTATCCATCACAGTTTTTTTGTAACGGCTTTTTTTTGTTTTTCTATCTGGCACCTTGGTACAGTAGGTAGCTACCTAGCTACAAAAACGATCCACCGCGTATTTGGACTTGTCCCATATCCGTTGAGGTGTTTACTTTACTTTTACGGCTACCTACCTGCTGTGCTGGACTGGACTGGAGTGGACTGTAGATATGAAACACTCTGAAATTTTCTGGGCTGTGGTATTGTGTGTTGGATGGATACTTGACAGAGGTTTCTCTTTTTCTTCCCCCCCCCCCCCCCCCCCCCCCCTCTTTTTCTTTTTTTTTTTTTTTTTTTTTTTTTTTTTTTTTTTTTTTAATGGTTTCATTTGTGTTGTTGTTGTTGTTGTTGTTGTTGTTGTTGTTGTTGTTGTTGTTGTTGTTGTTGTTGTCTCTCCACATCTCCTTTTGCTCAGAATCACAGTACTGGTGGTTTAGTGTCTTTTAATCGAAATGCTCTCTGAATATTCCATGATGCGTCCGATCGGTACTTGGGTTGTGGAACGCAATTACCATTCTTGGGTTTGTCCCTTCATGCTTTCTATCTATCTATGCTATGCTATGTCATGTATGGAAGGATGGATGAATGCTACCTACTCCATTCAATGCCATGCCATGATGCCAGTTTGATGCTCAATAGTTAAAACCATTACTCATTACATTCTTTCGTTTTGACGATCTAAGGAAAAGAAAAAGAACTTGAAAAGACACGACAGATGTGAGCGACCTCGATGTCCATCTTTCTGTTTTGTGTGAACCTGACCTGGGTCCAGGGTTATTGCTGATATCCTCCTAATACAGCATAGCCCCAGGAGTAGTTAGTTACCCAGTGAGTGGTATATATATAGGTAGTTCTAAACAGCAATCGACTGCTTAGAGGTATGCACCCCCTGATGCCCATGATGACTTCCACTCCCACTTCCACTTCCACTTCCGCTACTCTTCCTCCTCCTTCCTGATAAATGCAACCGATTCCCACTCCTCCCAGGACTCGAGTCCCTATCGCTACTGTTATTGCCCTTTCTTCCCGTTGGAGACCCACTCCTCTTATCTTTTTCAGACGCTGCCGACGACGACGACGAAGTGGACGAAGACGACGATCTTCTATGTACCCACGATGATGAAGAAGACCGTTTATGATTATCGTCCTTCTCGCCGATGGTGATTTTCGGGATGAGGATAGGGATAGTGAATGCCGGGAGTTTGGGTGAGGGGTGGTGGTGTTGTTTCTTGGGAGGTGTTGCGGGTTTAGTGGCTGCTAGGGGTGGAGAGGCGGGGGGTGAAGGGGGAGAATGATGTTTCCCGTGAAGGTGGTGGTTAGAGGTATGGGTGTTGTGGCGCTTGGAAGAGATGACGGAACGGAGGCGGGGGCTGGACCATTTTTCTTGGCTTTGGTGGTCTTGCAACTCTGTGGTGAGCAAGCTTGGAGATGAAGTGTCATCCGTATCATCCGTGAAGTCTTCCTGGGTGGTGGTTGGTTCGGGTTCTACTGAAAGTAGTAAGGCGGTTGACTGTCTTGGAGGTGTTGGGGGCATTGTCGGTATGTGTTCCTCGGGTTCCTGGTAGTTTGTGTTGATCTTGGTGGTTTCCATGGGCTTGTGATCGCTTTCACCTCCGCTTTCGCTGTCTTCCTCTTCGTCGTCGATGGCAAATTCTTCCGCGATAGGTGACAAGACGATTCCCCTCGGTGTCTTGATCTCGAGCAATGTCTGGACTTCTTGGTGACCTGGTTCAGATTCGAGTTCAGCCAAAGGCCAGTCTCGGGTTTCTGCTGCTTCAGTCTTGAAACCGAAGTGTGCCAGCTCTGTCTTGTAATCGTCTTGCTGTGCTTCCAACTCCTCTTCCAGGGTCAGGTCGTCACACGGGAAGCCTGTGTCAGGCTCGGGCGCAGGTAACACCAGATGGAGACTTGATGACCTGTATGAAGCCGGAGAGGCATCCCTTCTCGCTTTCCTTGGGCTGTCAGATTCCGGCTTCTCGTCATCCACATATATCTCCTCGAGCTTATCATCCGTCGCGGCCAGTTCCGGGCTGGGTGGGGTTGTGCCGCTTTTGCTGATGAAATCCGGATCAGGGTGACTGGAGGGCTCGGCTCGGTACTGTTCGGCTTCTTGTTCTGCTCTCTTGCGCGCCTCTTCTCGTTCTAGAGCTTCCTCTTCTTCCGTTCTCTGCCAGTACCGCCCCATCGCTGCTTGGTTCGCCCGATGCCTTCGCTGCTTCGTCGGGCTGGTGAGGTTCTTCTTCAGAGAGTTTTCGTCGTCAAAGCGGGAGATGTAGGTGACTGTGCTCTTGCTCTTGCGCTTCACCGGTAGGAACCGACGTCCAGGTCCTACTTCAACTCTGTGTACCGTTGCCGTGGCAAATCGGACGGTGGCGGTTCCGTGTCTCTCAGGCCTGCAGATGGATGATTCTGAAGAGGATACCGAGCCGGTAATGGAAGTTATGCTGGAGTCCGGTAGAGGCACGAGACAGGCATGGTCTGCTGTGGGCTTCCTGGGGTCATACTCTGGAAGCGTGGTCGAAAAGCAAGGGATCTTGCGTGGTGGCGGTTTACGCCCATCTGGACTGGCGACTCGGAGAATTGACTTGGGCTTTGGTGGGGGAGGCAACGGTTGTTGTTGCTGTGGGCTATGGCTGCGTCAATGATGATTCTTTTACTCATTCATATCATATAAAGATATGGACTTACCCTGGGAGCTTGTCTTTGCTAGCTTTTTCTTCGGAATGGTCCCCTTTAGAAGCTTCTTCTTTGACTTCTGATGTGTTTTGATCCGAAGTGGTTGATGCGGATGTTGTTGTTTTGTTGATGGCGTCTGTTGATGCGGCCTTGGTGGACGTCCTGGAAGCAGATTCCGATGCCTTATTGTCCAGCGTCCAGGAAGGGGTCTTTTTAAGCTTGGCCTTGGTGAGACTGTCTTCGTCGACAGCGGCAGCACCGGGGACTGATATGGAGAATCTCCGTAAAGCCATTGAGCGTCTACGTGCCTTCTTTTTATCATCGGCACTGGAGCTGTGCCTGCGGCCTCTTGACAGGCCATGGTGGGATGGTGAGGTGGGTGCTGGCTCGGAAGATGAGGTGGAGGGTGTCTTGGTAGGGCTGGATCTTGGCTGTAACCCTGCCCACGAGAGAACGGAAGTTAACGAGTCCCTTCTATGCGGCTGACGATGCCTGCTTGACTCTCTTGGCTCTTTGGACATGGTGACTGATGGTTCCTTTTCTGTCTTTTTGTTTGTGACCGATAAGGAATCCGTTGGTTTAGGGTAGGATACAAAAAAGGAGGGGTGCCGGCTAAAGCGCTTTGTGCCAGCAAGTATATATCGTAAGGTGACAGCAAATCCAATCACCTGAGCGGTCCCTGGATGGACTAAAGAATCCTGCGAGAAGGAGAGGGCCTGAGTGGTTTTGAAAAAGTGGCTCGGGCATGTTTAGGTCAAAACTAGGACGACTTCACATCGCGATGAGCCATTGGGATGGCACTGTATGGTACGCGGGGAAGCCAATCACGGCGTGCAGTCGCGCTTTTTGTGCTGCTGGCTGTATGCCATTTGGCATCACTGGATGAGATAGATGACATAGGTAGTCGTCGACTCTCAGAACGTACTGGATACCGGGTGAAGCGCCCGGAGAGCGGATTGCTAAGGAAAAAAGCAAAGTCAACAAAGTCTGTAAATACTTGAGGTTGGTGTGCCCCTGAATTGGCCTCGACTATCATGGGCATCCCAGCCTTTTTCGTGCCAACAAACACACATCCAGAACGCCATTCCTCTCTGTTGTCTCCTGATGGCAACCAATGGATAGGCAATGAGCGCGTACCCGATGGATCTTTCTGTTTCTCTGTTTCCGAGTGATGGGTAAGGGCGCCAGTTGGCAGCAGTTCATGCGGCCAAGCCAGCACTAGTAAGCAGCAGCAAGCAGATCCAAGCAAATCCAGACAAATCCAACACTTGTTTCTGGTGGTACAGAATGGAGCCAGGAGTTGTAGAGATTGTGTCATTGGTGGTGCGAGCAACAGCAAGTCGAGGCACTCATTGGCGCGGCCAGCAGCAGCTAAGCAACCGAAGGCGGAGTGAGCGGAGCGCAGCGATTTGGTACACGTGTTGAACGCATTCTCGTAGAGGCCGTGAGCAAACAGGAACTAGAGGTGATAGTGTGCGGTCGAAGAAAAACATGAAACCCGACTTTCTGTGTTTCGGTGAGATGGATGAAACATGTGGTTCTCAGCCGTGATCAGTTGTGCCCAAACTAAGTAGGTAATGTCGGCCGCTTCTGCCGTACAACTGAACCACAAGCAAGGCAAGTGACTCGGTAGGCAGCGGTAGTGATAGTGGACGGAGAAACGGAGTGACGGAGTGACGGAGGTTAGCCGACCGGGTGTAGTGACCTTTTTGATCGGATCCGCCCAGGAGCCTCTTCGCTGAGGGACTCGGCCGATGGACCCTGCCGCGTTCAGCCCCGGTGCTCTCAACTTGAATGTCTGGCTGCTGCCGAGCCCGACCGCCGGTCCCAAAACCATCACTGCAAAATCCCGAGGCAATGAACCAATCGGCGGACTCTCGCTCCAGACAACGGGAATCTTCCCTCTTACACTAGTGTAGTAGCATTTCTTATCTTATCTGAACCTCGCAAGGTCCTCAGAATACCGCATACCTACGGCTACTCTCGGCCCAATTGACATCGAGAGGTCAAATTCCGTGCTTTGAGTGATGGGAATTCCAAGCTGCCAATTCGTTGCATTTCACCGCATCTTATGTACACTACATACGTCGGAAAGATCAAAGACAATCTGTGTGTTATCAAAGGTCTGTTGATCTTACGTACCTGTAACAACCTCTCCGTTGTGACGCCATGGGCAATTGATGGTGATGAAGGTGATGACTCTTGTTGGAGGTTGTTTGGGGTAAACTGAAGGGCGTGCCAATGTGGGCCCAATTTTGCCAGGGGCTGCGAACTCGGCGGCAAGGGTCCGTTCCAACCGACATTTTTCTCCCCCCACGGCAAACAGAAGACGTGTTGATACAACCTCCATGACTCAACCAACTTCTTTACAATGAATGTCCGTCTTCGGTGCTCGGAATCTGCATAACAAACGTGGCAACGGGGCGGCATTGACGATCTGACCCCTCCTGTGCTCCAGGTTCCTTTTCCTCGGGTTAAACAATGTGGACAAGTAACGTGGGAGTTACATCGATCCCAAACGAGGAGGTTGTTGAAGACTGAGACATCGATGTAAGCTGCGCATATCTGCGGCATATCGCTTGTCCAAGGCCGCGGATAGACACAGCGCACCTATGCGCCGTCCCTTCGAGAATCTTGGACTGCTTTTCTTTTTACCCACATCTCGAAAAATCCCCACCTGACCTCTTGTTAATGAAAATCCATTGGTCAATGGGTCAGACATAACCAGTGTCAGGACTTGGGAAAGAAAAAAGAATGACTCCGGTCCACGAGTGATCCCGGTCTTTGTTATCGGTCCCGTATCTGGGCCTCGGGTCCCCCAACCCTCCGTCTCCATCCGTCTTTTCTCTCCCGTGGCGTTGCCGTCTCATGATAAAACTTTCTTCCCCCCCCCATCTTGATATTTCTCCTCTCTCTATACCTTCTCTTCATACCATCCCAACACCCGGTACCACTACGCCCTCAATAATTCAAAATGGTGTCTCATTCCGAACCCCCCAAGGAGGCCCTTTCTGCCGTTGCCCTCGAGCACACCATCGACGAGGCCAACGCCCTCATCAACGGCACCTCCGATGTCCCCAAGATCCAGGAGCTCGATGCCTCCAAGCTCGTCGTCACCCTTGCCGACCCCAATGCCCGCCAGGTCCCCGACGAAGCTACTGCGAATGCTGCCTCCGAGACCATCTGCACCGACCACATGGTCACTGTCTCCTATAACGTCGAGTCTGGCTGGGGCGTCCCCGAGCTCAAGCCCTACGGCCCCATCTCCCTGATGCCCACGGCCTCCGTCCTTCACTACGCCACCGAGTGCTTCGAGGGTCTCAAGGTCTTCCGCGGCTTCGATGGCAAGCTCCGCCTCTTCCGCCCCAACCTGAACGCCAAGCGCCTACTCATGTCCACTCTCCGTATCGCCCTCCCCGGCTTCGACCCTGTCGAGGTTGAGAAGCTCATCGCCAAGCTCGTTGCCGTCGATGGCGCCAAGTGGCTCCCCAAGGACCGCCCCGGCTCCTTCCTCTACATCCGCCCCGCTGTCATCGGCACCCAGCCCCAGCTCGGCGTCCAGGCCCCCAAGCAGGCCCTCCTCTTCATCACTGTTTCCTTCATGCCTCGCATGGACAGCCCCGCCGGTGGCATGCGCCTTCACACCAACCCCGAGGATATGATCCGCGCTTGGGTTGGCGGTTTCGGCTACGCCAAGGTTGGTGCCAACTACGGTCCTTCCCTCCTCGCTACCAACGAGGCCAGGGCCCGCGGCTTCCACCAGATTCTCTGGCTCTACGGCAAGGAGGCTTACTGCACTGAGGCTGGTGCTTCCAACTTCTTCATCGTCTGGCGCGCCAAGGAGTCCGAGGGTGGCAAGCTCCAGCTCCTGACTGCTCCTCTTGACGACAAGCTCATCCTTGACGGTGTTACCCGCCGCTCCGTCCTCGAGCTCGCCAAGGCCCGCCTTGCTGGCGAGGTCGAGGTTGTTGAGCGCCGCTACACCATCGATGAGGTCATCGAGGCTGACAAGGAGGGCCGCATTGTCGAGGCTTTCGCCGCCGGTACTGCTGTATGTCACTGTTTCCCCCCATAGCTCATCTTTCCGCCCAAGCACGTACTAACTTTGCCGTTTACAGTTCTTCATCGCCCCTGTCTCCCAGATCCACCACCGTGGCACCGACGTCCACATCCCTCTCGGCGAGAACGACTCCGGCGTTTACACCACCAAGATCAAGTCCTGGATGAAGGACATCATGTACGGCAACGAGCAGCACGAGTGGGGTGTCGTCATCAACGAGGAGTAAGCCTGCCCAATACACCTACATAGCGATCTGATACCCCCCCCCCCTTGGACCATCGACCCTAGCGAGCGAGGGATCTTCCAATTCCGGCCCCCCCTTACTGGATTCCTGGATTTTCTTTCTTTATCGCTGTGCAATGTCTCTTGTCATTTGATTGTTTTTGGAAACCAAGCGTCCGCTTTGCCAAAGAGTTGGGAAAAGAACAGGATTATTCACACGACACTTGATATAAACAGGGATGAGGCTGTCGCTGGCCAAAAGAGGAAGAGAGAGCAGAATGAGGAGGCAAAGCGCGAGTAAACCTTGCTTGCTCCTTTTGCCTTTCATCGACCACTACAAAGAAGGACGACCGCCTATCTAGAGTGGAGGTTTAGAAGACTGAACAACAACAAAAACAAAACGTGCGGATGACGGTGCCCGGTATGCATAGCATTTGCATATACGAGTGCATGCAGCCATACGAAAAAGAGGAGTTGATTTTTTCTGCATTTCAAGTGCTTTTAAAAGAGCAGAAGCGGAAGGAAAAGCATAAAAAGCATGCAGGGAAGAAAAAGAGTGGCACGTTTGGGCGTTTTGGGTTTTCGACATATTCCCCGGAGGGGATGTTATGTGTAGAGAGATTTCTTCGTCTTTTTTTAGAAGCGTCTGTATACCCGGAAGAGCGAATAAAGTTAACAAGGATTAGCTCTGTCCCGTTTGTGAAAGATGTGTGGTGCAAGGACCTTTAATATGCAACTCGGCTGGGTAGGTAGGACAGGCAGTTAATCAATTACTTCCTTATCTACCTGTCTACCACCGGTTAAATAGACATGAGGTCGTTCTAAGGCTCAGTCAAACCTTACCTACCAAACCTTAGCAGTGCTAATAACAACGTGCAATCACAGTACCGCTTCCAGGTTACACAGACATGGACATAAGACGAAATAACGGAATTTGTAAATATAGACGCTACCAACGCTGTGCAAACCTGAAAATTCTGTAGATCTTTCCAACTCAATCTCGACGTCTCCGTACGTCTCTGCACATGCCCAGCTGATATCATCAAACAGGAAAAAAGAAGGAAACCAATTTCTTCTACATCCGTCTATCTCTCTTTCTCTTTCTCTTTCTCTCTACCTACCCTCCACCACCACCACCACCACCACATTTTGGTTTTTTACCCACCTACAACTAATCATCACGCTCATGTCCCTTCCCACCCAACATACCCTCACTCGGCCCACCGGCTCTCCTCCTCCTCTTCCCCCACACCTCTTGACACCAATCACTAATCCTGTACCCCCAATGACCCGCCACCAGCGCACCACTAATGACATTGACGACCTTGATGAGAAAAACCAAAAACGAATCCCGCTCCTCCTCGATGTTCAGCAGAATCGGCTCAATGTCGTACTTGACAAAGATGCCCGGGATGATGCGCTCCGTGACTTCCTGCGACTGCTCCGTGACGGCGTACTGGTTCGTGACAATGGATTTGCCTGACGACGAGTAGACGGTGGGGACGACAGAAATAAAATACTGGAACTTGTGGAAGTTGGCGGAGGCGATGTTGACGGTTTGGTCGAGCGGGTTGACGAGGGAGGGGAGGAAAGGGCCGAAGGAGAGCTCGGAGATGATGTGGGAGAAGTTGAATGCTGTTTTTTTTTGTCGTTAGTAGCTGTTGTTACCATGGAAAATAAAGTTGGATGGGATTTGGGGGGGGGGGGAGGAAAGGTAAAGAGAAAACAAACCAGAATGATCCAAATGCTGGCCAAACTCCATATATCCATGCCCTTTAGCCGTAATATGAAAGTCGCCCTGGACCTTATTCAACTCCAGACTGCCAAAAACCCTACAGCTGTCCGGCGTCGCCCCCCACAACCGCGGCGTCCTCGCCCACTTGGCCTTCCGCCTGCCCAAAGAAACAATATCATGCACGTGCTCCTCCCCAAACCCTTCGTCATGCCCCTGCCCCTGCATGTACCCCTCCCCCGTAACCACCTTGCCCTGGGCGTCCCGTCCCAGCTTGTGAATCCCCTTGTTGTCGACCCAGTGCTGCCACACCGTCGGGTCGCGATGGAGCCTCGAGGCGGCCAGGATGCGGTCGCCCGCCGCGTCTTGCACGTTGATGTGGATGTCTTGGCACTTCATCTTCACGACAATGTCGAGGTTGATGTCGAGGGCGTGGGAGACGCCCTTTTCGACGGCAAAGGTGTGCGATTCCGAGCCGCGCCACCAGCGGGAGGCTTCGGACCAGAAGAGGATGAAGGAGACGAGGGCGACGAAGACGGTCCATTTGCCGCCGGCGGTGGTGCGGGTTACGTATTGGGGTTTGGATTTGGCTGTGTAGTAAGTAGGACTTTCATGTCAGTGATTTGAAGATGTATGAAAGCGCATTGAATGTAGGAAGGAGGGGAGGGACGTACGGAAAGCGTCAAAGGCGCTGACTATGCTCCCCTTGGCGCCAAAGGCGTCTTCGTCTAGGTGACGCTTCTCGTCGTAGCCGTTCATCTTTACGTATATGTGTTTGTGTATCGTAATCGGAGTTGCGAAAAGGTATGTCTGGTCTGGTTTCGTATGTTGGATGCGATTCAGCACTGCAATCCGTCCTGGTGTTGTTGGTCTCCCCTTCTTCCTCTGCCACTTGTCAGGGCGGCGGCGGCAACCCAAGCTGTCGGTTGGTGGTGACAGTGACCACTGTTTTCCGTTTTTGGATTTCTTCTCGATTCCAATCTACAGCGGATTTCTGATCCTGAGCTAGTACCGCATTGGCGTTTTATCGAAAAGCAATTTGTCGTCGAGACCCGATGGTGTAGTTCTGGAAGGACACAGCCGGCTACTGCTGCAGGTAGCTCTTGTCCTTTGGGGGAAATTGCGAATGCGCCCACAGCTAATTCGTCATCCGGTTCGCGAGGATTGGCTCGGTTGAGTTGGACTAAACAAATCCACGGAAAGAAAGAAGATGATGAAGATTCAAGCTACTATGTACACCAAACACTAAAGAAAGCAGAAGGAAGTTCTATGGAAAAAGGGTGGTGATCCTGGCGGCTGAAAGACACCGGCCGTTCGTTCCCTTGCATGGATGCCATTCGGAGGACATTCATCGATGAGGACAAGTGGACGTTGGTCCCCGCGAAACGATCCGCCGTGGCTTGGCGTTTGGCTGTAGATCCCTGTGTGCCTGACAGGGGCCTGTTACGGGAACTAGGCTGGAATTAGCTCGAGCATGCGCATGGCTGGTGGGAACCCGTTTGCCATACTTAACCCTGACCCTGACATGGCCTGCCTTGCTTTACCCCTGAATCGTCCTCCTTTGTGTGCAAGTCGTCAACAACATCACTCCGTTACCGTTGCATGACATTTTGTCTGGTGTTCGTCACAACTTCTTCGCCGACATATGGCCAGATCCTAGGCTAGTACTCGAGGGCCTTTATGTGCTCGATTGCATGTCCAGTTCTTTAGCCCCCTCGTTTCGTCTAGTTGTCTTTCATGGTCTTTCCGGACATTTATCAAGGTGCTGGTAGGATCATTCTCTGTATCTTTTCGGTTTATCAACAAGTGATGTAACGGCAGTAACCCGTTTCTTAAGCCTTCTCCCCTTTGACTCTTATGCCGCCGTAACCGTCCGTTTTTCTCATGTATCTCATGACATTGTTGGCCGTTCAAGGCTTGGTCTCTGATGTATTGGCTTTATGTCCATACTGTTCAAGGAAGTCCGGACTTTCTGAATACGAGGTGTGGTGAACGTAGTATGTTTATACAACACTTCCATGGAAAGTTACTTAGTTCAAATCTCTTGGTCAACATATCCAAGCGCTTTTGTACCTATCCAGTTCGCCCCTCATTTTGATGAAGATGACCTAGCCCTACTTTGAGTGTGCATTCTTAGATATCCTTGATGGTTTTGGTGAGTGTTTACATCTACATTTATATGTTAGGCTCATTCAATATTGTTAGAACAGCTGTCATTGAGATCACGTACCCATCTAACAAAGAACCTAAACAAGTCCTGGATTGTATCCGCAACTGGTAGAAGTCATCGCTTTGAACAACAAGGATAGTATTCAGATAGAGAGCTTTGGAATGTGTGATATCTGATGTATGCTATGCACAATGCCATACACTTTGACCTGTATGATCTCCTGGTCCCCTCTACTCGCTTGGAGAGGCACAATTTCAGGAGATTTCATCCTTTATTGTTCGCAATGGCAAACAAAAATCAATAAACGGTCTGGCAGACCGCCGCGCGGTGAACCACTTTCTGGAAATGTTGCTACTGAATGATGGAGAGCTTATCGTTGACAGATGCGGTACTGCCCATTGCCATGCCATAGAACCCAGTGGGATAATGACCAGGAAACTCCTCACGCCCGTTGCCATATCCCAAACATCTTTATTGCACCTGCCCGACATCTCGTTGACTAAATCCTGACATTCTTTTGACGGGAGGTTCTGGCCTTTCTCGTCTCCTGAATGGATTTCAAAAAGATAACTGGAGGCAACTTCCTTTGACATTCCGCTATCAATGCAGCGCGCTCACCGGCCCCTTCTCCTCGAACAAATATCAACCTCCATCTCTCCTGCAGCTTTATCTGGAAGTTACTTCCCCACCAGCCATCGAAACACTTCCGCTCAGCTGGGAATCTGGCATCTTCCCGTATTCAGCTAGGTACGTAACTCCTACGACAAGCAGTACCCGCCAAGAAGGTTTCCCCGCCATACCTAAAGGTACCTCTTGCTTTTCTTCCCTTTCCGAACCGCGGAAGGGCTCCGTGAGTACTTTCTCATCCCCCAATTACGCAAGCAAACATACTCAAGAGGGGAAGGCACGACGTACCTGGACCCGCTCACTCCACTACCTTCCCGTTCTTCCTACCTTCACCCAGGCTTTGTGTCAGATTTTCTTTCTCGGAAAGTTGCCAAGCATCTGGCCACCGACGCTTCTCTCTCCTTCCATCGGTGTCTTGACTCTCTCACACGAAGCCAGTACCTAAAACTGGCAATCTCCTCCTCGATCTGTCTCAGCTGGCTCGTCGTCGAATCGAATACGTAGTCACCATCCGGTAGCATACCCAACAGCGTACACTCTACACACTTCCAAGGGTGGACGCGTCCAGAGAACACGTACAATACTCGGTAGGTATATTAACAGGAGCGCTCATCTTTCCGCATTACTAACAAGTGATGACTAGCATTGCGCTATCCAGTCCAGGCGGCCCTAGTCGCGGATCCAACATGACGGACCGCGACAAGAGTGGCCAATCGGCCGCGGACGAAGAGGAGCAGAGGAGAAAAGCCATTCTGGCAAAGGCCATGATGGATGATCTCGGCACTGCTCGTGTCGAAAACCTGCCGTTGGAGGATGTTGACCTCCCTCCTCGTCATGGTCGTCATGATGGCCGGGGACACTCCCGTCTTACGATGCCTCGGCCTGCTCCCGCCGTGTCTGATATCTGGGCAGAGGCCCAACGACAGGGCGTTTTCAACGATGATGACGCTATTGCTGTGCGAGAACTTGATGATCTTGGAGGCGGAAGAATCTATGCCACCCGCCAGCAGGAAGTCAGCGCTTTGGCTAGCCGCCTCGTTCGTGGCGTCAGAGATCAGTACGTATCGATCCATTCTGAACACTGGATGTATGCTTGTGTTTGGTGTTAAACATTCGACTGACCTTGCCATAATAGTGCTCAAAAAGTATTGAACCCCGAGCTGGACAGCCACCTTGCTAAACAATACCATGGCCGCGGACGCGAGATACCGCCAAGCAGAAAAATCAACATTGGCAAAGACATGAAAACATCCACTCTCGGTGTCCTTCATCACGCATCTCAGCCGGTTAAGCAATTCCCCCCTAATTACCGCCCATCTTCTACATCACCCCATCCATTGGCTTCCACAAAGCCCCTTCAACAAGTCTCTTCCAGTCAAGGACTTTCGTCTTCCCGGGTTCGAGTTGCATCTTGTGCATCTTCTACCCCGCCTTTCAAAGAGACCTGTCGGACTACTTCGGTCCATTCTACTCGTCACGCAACTATCAGTCAAGGGCCCCGTCATCCACCTGTCAACCAGGCTCAAACACAGCCTGGCCTAGCTACCGCGTCAACTGATTCACGCCAAAGCTCTGCGAGGATCCGGCAACCGTCTACGCCTACCACTCAAGGCCCAGCAAGTCAGCAACTCCTGACTTTGGGCAATGAGCATAATGTTCCCCCTTCGGAGAATGAATCTTCTCCACTTTCGCCAGAGCTGTCTAATGTTCTCTTCAAATGCGAAGTTGACTTTCCTAATCCAACACGTCTACCTAACAGAACGCTTGTACCCTCCATGGTTTATCTCTCTGCGGCCGGAAAACCCCATTTGGGGTTCTTCACACTAACTTGCGAAGGCAAGCAGGTCTGCCAATCGCCTATCTCTCAATACTACCATCATACTATTGACTCTGGATCGCGACAACTGATAATTATTTTCAGAGGCCAAGAGGGTTATACTAGCAGTCACATAGTCAACTTCATGGCGTATATGGACGCGGAAGATTTTCACAAGACACTCGCCTGTCTCCGTGCTGGCAAATATCTGGATCAGGTCAACGACAACTCCAGGCAGATGTTGGAGGCTACCATTCAAGAGGCAGCTCCAACTACCGGGGAGGCATCCCCCACGCCGACTCCTCGGAAACCCGTGTCTCAAGCTCGAGCGGAACAAGCAATCACGACAGATTTTGACACGGTCTCAAGACAACCATATGCACCAAATTCAACCATAACCCAACGTGCAGAGAACCAGGAGATACTGGTTGGTACGCTTATTGACTTGGACACTTTGGATGACGCTCCATCAACGGTCCAGCCACAGTATGCTCAATCTGAAGCTGCGGAGCTACTCTCTACTCTTGATCCGTTTGACTATGAGCTTGAATATGTCGACGATCAGCTTCAGCTCCAGCAAGCGCAACCTGGAGTCACGGAACATAACTATGGGCTTGATATTGTCAAGCAGGAGTTTGTTGATACATACCGATTACTGTTGCAGAACATGATTAAGGTATTGGGTGAAATGCCGAGCAACAGGACAAATCGCGGTGCTTCTACGATGATTGAAGGACTCCAGACATTCGTGACGAGATCAGCAATGACTGATGAATGCGGTCTCGATGAATCAACCAAAAGAGAGCTTCTGAAGGAGGTCTGGGGTGACTCTCAACCTGTGGATACCGACGATGTTACCAACGACATTCAATCAGTTCCCAATTCTCTGCCAGATCGCCCGGAAACTCCCAGACCTCCCCCTCAGACCGCAAAAACCACTTCTCGTGAGACTACTAGAGCACACTCCGCTGTGGCCGCTACGCATACTCGCCGCTATGTATACCAACTTCCTTATCTTGTGTCCCTTTACGACCACCGTTTGCAGCCTCCCCACTGGCTCAGTGAGCTGGGTTTTATGCCCGCGTTCTCTAGAAGGAACCAGCCTCCCTCGACTTGTCAGAGCTTGGAAGCTACGCTTACAGCCACGAGGCCTGCCACTCCGCTTCCAGCGGCTACAATTCTGGCTCCTGATTTTACCAGGAGCAGAGCCAATCACGCCTGGGTGATGGCAACAGAGGCCTCAGAGATCGTAGAGCCTACGCCCATCATGACTTCCGAGTTAACGACTCAAGGTGTGCAAGCAGAGACCCTGGTATCACAGATCAGAGAGCCTACAACGGTAGTTCCCAATGAGACAACTGCGAGTCTGTCCCATAAAGAGCACGCAAATGCAGATATCTGCAGTGAACCCGAGCTCATCTCTTTGGCCACTCCGAAGCCACCAAGGCCTCCACCAACACAGATAAATGTTCGTGGCCTTCGGAACTCATTGTGGGCTAGACCTGATGATCGCCTTGAGACCGAAGGAGTCTTTACAGGTCCTCAATTCTTGACTAGTGCCACCCTTCGAGCGCGAGCGCAACTTGATCCACAGGCCCCAGTCAGTGCTACTCCTGCCGAGTTGGCGGAAATGTTCTCTGGTAGGCCCTCTACTCAGAGTATTGAGCATGTCACTCCTCACATTGCACCTGGTGTGCAAAACGATGGACCCATTTCAGTGTCTAATCACCGGCCCGCCACCCCCGCCGACAATACTTCAAATGTTGGAGGACCGGCTCCTCAGGATCGAACACCTCTTTCAACCCAGCGTGTCGTTAACACGCCTATTCAGCAGCCCAGCTCCGTCATCACACCGCCTGCTCAATCGCAGTATCCGGTCATCTCTAGCAGTCTTTCCAACCATAGCCTGGCTGGCTCAGGGTGTGCGACTAGTTCGGTGCCAGAGAGTTCCTCCAAACCAGGTCCTCCTCAACCCGAGCAATCTGCTTCTTCTAGCAGCTCCACCAACCCTGGTTTAGCTGGGTCTAGGTTTGCTAGCAGTTCGGCACCAGAAAACTCTAATGGTACCCACTTGCCCGTTGTTCAAGCCCAATCGCCGGCTCCTGTTTTCGAGGCCCAACCGACGGCTCTCGCTCCTAGACCTCTTAACCGCGGCTTGGCCGGATCGAGATTTGCTTCTGGCAAGGTGCTATCCAGCTCTGGTATCTTTACGGGCCACTACGCTCGAACGCAGCCACATTGAGATTTGGCAGTCCAAGGGTATATCGAGAAGTACGGGAACCGCGATGATTCGACATATGAGAAACCCATACTTGACAATATCTTGAAAACGCGGCGAAGGGGAAGGCAACAAACAATTCATGGATGGAATATTGGAACTAGGTTTATTTCATTTCCTTTTTTTACTTTGCTGCTTTAACGTCATAATGCAAGCGATATGAGAGGATGGAAGTATGGCATGACATAGATGAAGCAGTGTAGAAGGGGGAAGAATTTATAATGCGTAAAGAACCACAAAATAGCTTACATGGATCAAAATCCAAGCAATATGGCGGACAATGTAGAATAATGTAATTATTAGACTTCAACTGCTATCCCAAATGCTTGTGAGGTGCTTTTGGTGACAGGGAAATGATTGAGTCGGAGGTTGTGCGAGTGGGAGAACCTGTGCGCGGTAAAGGTCAGCACCGTATCCTCAGAACGCAAGTAAAGAAGCCCATGGCAAATTGAAAATATCTTGGTTTTGTTCTTGAGGGTGGAGAGGAAGCAAACATGATATTGTAGCGGATACACTCCTGGTACCCATCGATATAAACCCCAGTGTCACTTCCACTCCAACACAGACTTTGATCACTCAAAAGCACATACAACGACACACCAATTCTCTTGCCCAAAAACACATGGTATCATCGCTCCAGATATAGAGTGTAACTATTTCTTTTAGTCCCTCTTTCCACTTCCCAAACGTTTTCGTCACCCACCACTTCCATCCCCACCACCATTTCCATTTCCACCTCCACTCCCACCCCCAGACCCATTCCCAGACCCCAAACCTCCCATCCCCGCCGTAGTCCCCAGAAAGAAATCCAGCCCATCCGAGTCACTCCCCGGCCCTCCTCCGCCACCCCCCAGCAGCATTTCATTTTCCGCCAACTGCTCTAGCAGACTCAAAAAGGGGTCCTTTTCTTCTGTCCCAGTGCTACTACCCATGTCACTCTTCGGCGTTGGCTTGTTGTCGCCGGTACTGCCAGCACCGGCCGGGTTCTGATGAGTGTCATCGTCTGGGTTCCATAGTAGTTGTGATGGGCTGGAGAAGGCGTTGGTTGGGAGGTCACCGAACATGGGGTCGAAGTGGTGGTGGTTGGTGCCGGGGGTGGAGGGGCGTTGTTGTTGTTGGACTTGGAGGTTGGAAAAGTTGAGTTGTTGGGGGCTGCTGAAAGGGGAGTTTGGAAGGTTGGGGGAGAAGGAGGAGATGCCTTGGCCGAGGGACATGGAGTGGGAGCGTGGGTGGTTGTTGGAGGAGGGGGTGAGGGAGGAGAAGTTATTGATTGATGTGGAGGTTGTGTTTGAGGGCGGGATGTTGGTATGAATTGGGGAGCCTAGTAGCATGGAGTGGAACTGTGCTCGTTCGTGTTGGGTGTCATGTTGTTGTGCTAATGATGGAGTGTGAGGTATTCCCCCAGGGGATGGGTGAAGGCCGCCTAAGGAGGACAAGGGGAATGTTGCCGTGTGGGGGTGGGATGGTGTGGGAAGGCCGGTGCTGAAGTTCGCGTTTCCGCTGATTGATAGTAGACTCTTGATATCTGGCCGTTTCCTCCCCGAAGGTGCAGTATTCTTCCTCTTGAGATTCGGTCTGCTGAGCGCCGACTCACCAGCGACATTATCGGCCAGACGAGGCGCATACAAATCGTGCCCGGGATATGTGTCAGTTGTAAAGTCCACTATCACGTCGACCAGACTCAAGTTGGCCGCATCAAAACTGAATGACTGTCCTCCTGGACCACCGATGTTGGCATATCGATCGAAGAAATCTTCCAAGTGGAAGACTGGAGAGTATCGGATCGAATTGTTGGCAACACTCTTTACAAGCTCCGCATGAGCATCGTATATACTCTGAAGTGTTTCGCGCTGATGCTGTACACTGGCCCACGAATACCGCAACTCACTCAGCTGTTGCATCTCCCGAGATAGAAGCTCCGGCGAAGAGCTGAACACGTTCATTTCTCCCATTATCCCATGTCTGCTGTAGTGGACGCCATGGACATGTACCGTTCCAGCCGTACATACACAGTAGCCAACAAACGCTGGCCACTCGATAGACGCCATCCGTTTTCCGAGTTCCACGAGTTCGGCAATGGCGTTGGCGTGTAGAAAACACATGTTGGTGGCCTCAATTTGCCAAGATTGATGCTGTCCTGATCCAGCCAGTTCGGAGAGGTCAATCGGAAGAAAGGGTCGGTATATCAGACAATGAACCAAATGGTAAATGAGTTTGCTCAGAACGAGCACGGTTGAGTCTGTGTGACCGAACAAGGAATGTAGGCTGGAAAATGCATCTTCTGTCCCAGAAGCCCAGACATCAAGGTCCTTTCGGATCTTTGACAGGTTGGAGAGCGAGTGCCATGGAAAGTGCGAATCGCCTTTGGCTCCTCCAGATGCCAGATATTGATTCGTAGCACCGAGAATTCGGGCAATATCGATAAGCAATCCGTTGCTTCCTCGCGATCTCTTCCCACTCCCATAGAAGTATTGCGAATTCGAACCACTCTGGAAGAAGTCCCCTTCAACGGGCAACGCTGCTGGACTGAGGGACCAACTCGGGAGCCTCAACAAAATTGTATTGTCCCTAATCAGAGATGGCCTCTTTGAACCGGAAACCATGAACCTGTCGAGTAAGTAGCAGCTCCAGAACAGTCGTCTTCGCGTTTCTCGTTCGATAGGAGTAACTCGGGCATCGATGGCCATTTCACGGTGGAGCTCTAGAGCCATGGCCATTCCTACAGCATTTGCTAGTACAAGTTAGCTTTAGAGGAGGGCACACGTGCTTAAGGTAAATCATACTTAGAAGCATATATGCCTTTTTCCCTTTCCCAGCGGCGGTAAAGGCCGTTATCAATAGTAACAAGGCCTGCAGAGCATCCACACTCGGTTCATCCGTGTCTAACTCTGACCTGGAACGAGCGGCGTAGTCTTCGCTGAGCTTGATCGCGGATTGGTATCCTTTTGGGTGAGGTGTATACCTTGCGGCCACAGCACAAACAGCATGTAACAGATAGTTTGGGACTTGCTGCAGCTGAAGACGTTGGCGGAATGTCGACTCGTCAAGTATGTGAAAAGGCTTGGCGTGAAAGCGAGTGAAGTATGTGTCGTACAAAACGGTCGGCTGGACTTCTGGCATTGATATCGATTGCTGCTCGACATTCTGTGCCCTTGTTCTGTTTGTTAGCCGCCATTGATCCTCACTCGGAGCTCTACATTGCACTCACTGACTAGAAGGTTGGTGAAGCTCTTTAGAATCGTGTGGACGAGGAGAGTCCAGCGGGCCATCCTTTGGGATTTGTTCCCTTTGGTTCGTACTGGTGCTAGTTGACGTTGTGGGAGACAAAGAATCGGCTACAACGTAGGGTGTCTCTGGGACTGCTGGCGTTTCTGACTCCCCCTTTTCCTTTAGTCTTGCTTCCAAGCCATCCACTCGCTTTAGTAATGCTTCCAAGACATCGGTCTTTGGGCCCCTCTTCTTGGGTACAGCGTCTATGATAAAAATTACCTGTCAGCGTTCTCTGCTCGGCCTGTTAGGTCTGATGACCTTCAGGAGCCGCGGGTGGGGCAAGTATTTGGGTATGACAACGCACCGTAGATGCATGGACATTGGAAGATTTGACAGGCTTCACAGGCAGGTCGAAGGCGGTTGCATTTGATCTGTGAAACCCGGCCTGGTTAGCTTGGTTGTGTTCCCAGGCTACTGAGCACGTGCGGAGGTGGCCTATATACCTTGCGTTTTCGACATGACTTGCAGTTCATGGATTCACGTGGCTCATTGCTGAGTCGGCGGGCAGGCAGCCGCTCAATGCCAACCTGAGGACGAGGAAGAGACATGGCTCCTGGATGAACTGTGGGAAAAGTGGTGACGGTCCCGGCATTATAGGCCTGAATGCTCAGGACGGTTTTGGTGGATGACGATGAAGGTGAAGATGGAAGTGGAAGCCACAAAGTATTGTTATGGTCGTCTCTGATATCGCATGGTCGTCAAAGCATCTCTGGGCTTGGAGTCTTGCCAATGAATTGGAGGTGATGTAATGTCTGGACCTGGCGAAAGGGCGACTTTGGCCAAAGGCGACAAGGTGAACGATTTCCTCTCTTCCGAGTTCAAGTCTCACTAATCATACACCAAGCGCGGAGGAGATGGAGGCGCGGATGGTTGTGGATGTCGGCGTTGAAGGATGACAAAACATGATCAAGTAAACTTCAAGATCATGACAATGGCGAATACGAAAGCATCGAACAATGTTCGCAAGCGAGTTCGTGGAGTTGAGCAGAGAACGAATAGCGAGAGGTTTCAAGGCAGGGGACTTGGCCAAGAAAAGTAAAAGTGGTCGAGTAAAGGTGTTTACGGTCAATACCACCTTGACGACGGCCCGGAGTAGCCCCGCATCATCGGTACTGGCAGGTAGTGTAGTGCCGGGTGAGATGCTGGGAATCCTGGAGGTGGAAGTGATGGCAGCTGTGTTCGAGCGGTACGGATCGGATTCCGTAGCGTAGGTTAGCTGCCCGAAGGCTTCTCGAGGCGAACAAGGGAGTCTGGAGGGAAGATGACCGATTGCCTCAGTCAGCGAGCAGAGACGACGACGACACTAGTCGGCTGTGTTTACTCAGACAGGCAAGTCGCCAGATGGGAAGCATGCATCGATCCATCACATCACCGACCACGGGAGTATGTAACGGTTGTTGGGTTGTATCGATTTGCATAAAATGAGGAGAGGCAGAGGCTCGAGAAAGCACAAAACCTGAAGGACATCCATGTTCTCTCGTGTCAGCCATGTCGGTGATGAACATGGGTTCTTTGCGGGGGAGCCGAGGAGTGAGGAGAAAAGGGAGACCGGGGCAGTTGAAAGGTGACACTCCGGGACTGCGTTTTTACCCCATTCAGAACTTGACTGCAGAGGTACACAGTGTTTCTAACAGTATATTGATCTCTATTGTACTGTAGCCGCAAAACTCCCAGTCACTCGAGTCCACTGCAGTCCTTCCTCAGTTCCTCCAACTCGCAACTTGCATCGATCTCACAGAACGAACTCAGCTAGTACAATAACCTACCCAACGGAGAGACGGAAAGCCCGAATCTTGAGTTGATGAGGAACGTCATCTATTCCTTCCCCTTTTAAACTCGATTCATCGCATACCACACCTAAAATGACGCTAGCCGGCAAGGTATTCGTCAGTGACCAGGCCATACCCATTCGAAATCGAGACGGTCGACCCAGTCAATGGGACGTCGCAGGCTCCCTCCCCTGTTGAACATTCCACCATCCTTTCCTCAACCACCCCTCTGATCTCGCTAACTTTGTTGCTTTTACCCTTCTTGTCTCGCTTCTTTGTCTTTGATCCTTGATTCCACGCGTCCTCTGTCTTCTCCAGATCTTCTCAAGCCCAGAACCTTGGGAATCTCATGAGCACCCCGACCGAAACAACAGTCCCAGCCGTTTGACATGACACCCGTGTTTTCGAGCTCCAAGTGTGGACTATGACTGACACCCTTCAGTTTCATACTAGAGACCATGTAAACCAGTTTCAAGCTTCACTTTCATCCCACTACCCATCCGCATTCAACTCTTCACAACGATCCACATACATAGGACATTTCCTTCACTTATGCCACATCGCCGATTGGATTAAAGCTACCTACTTAGGTATGCTACGCTGTCTGCACTACGACAGCACTTGAGCCGCCTGCATACCTACCGAGACCGCACTCTTGTGCTCCTTCCCGGCTTGTCAAAGTGGTCAATGCCGGCATGCATGCATCCTACAGCACCTCGCCTAACCTTCCACTCCGGGATAGGTCCTTTTGTTCACTGGTAAACTTGGAGGAAACACGACTTGGTTTGGGGCCCATGTGCCCCCAGAATCCAACGGTGGACGGAGCATGCGTCACGAGCCTGGAGGTACAGCGGAAGGCCTCCCCGACCTCGACACCGTCTCCCCTGGATCCGTCCCGAGATCTTCATTTATCGTCACTGCCGCACGAATCGCAGTCCATAGTGCGTAATCAAAGGAGCTATCCCGCAGTGATGATCCTCACCGTCTGTAGACGGGGTGTCAGGGCAACCCTCCATGACTGCACCCCAGGCCAAGAGGGGGTACGTAACAGCGTTCCAGACTTAAGAGTATGTGCGGAACCGTCATGCTGACAATTTCCGGCATCAGTCACCGACGGGCGATGAGACATAAAGATCGATGTGAATGCTGGCTTGGCAGGGACCATCACATCAAACGGGCGGAAAGCCATGCATTTCTCCAACCTTTTGTTCCGACACCATGCAACAGAGACAGCAGACTGTTGGGTTCGAGCTGAGAGACACCCTCAGGGCTTGAAGCAAAGTCCTGTATGTTTCAGACAAAGCTTGGCGCATCACCAGCGGGAGCTCGGAGCCGAGCCATCCCCGTCTCTCTCTTGCTCACGCTTGCAATATCAGGGGCAACTTTAAGTTTAGAATAGTACCCCCTTCCTGACTTCACTAGATATATGAAGGGACTGCCAAGCACCCCTGGAAAGAGCGTCAGGAGTCCCTCATCAGTTACCAAAGCCTCGGGAACAAACAGCCACCGCACACTCTATGTCCGGACTGCCATCCATTCACTTCCCAATCCCAGCTACCCTTCTCTCCTGGCTGTCTTCCATCAGACAAAGGCCCAGTATCTCTATCCATGATCGAAATGGTGCCCTATACCAAGTGACTGAAGGCACAGACTGCCAACGGCGGCGCCATCGTCTCATCATCACGGACTGGCAGTTACCAGCGACCATTCTTGTGCTTTGGCCTCTTCCACAGGAAACCATATTAAGAGCCAAGCCAAGCTGTTAGCTATGTATGTACACACTACACAGGCAAAGACTGAGATGCGGCTCGGAGGATGAGTGACCGAATTGTCGGATCGGGACGGGAGCCGCCGTTGGCACGGATGCACATACCGTACCATTCATGCTTTTCCCAAGCCGGTATCGTTGCATACAGTACCCTTACTGGAAGGGATTCATAATCTTGAGGGGCAAGGAATGTCGACAATGTTACCCGTTGGGTACATATCGTCGTGGCTCTATACGCTTCTGGTCCTTTGGGTCACTCAGGCTTTTGAGTATATGAGTCGACACAACAGATACACTTTTTGGTTTGTGCAAGGCATTCATGACTCTTTCTCTCTAACTCCCAAGTCTTGTAATAGCTATTATTGGGCTGCGTGCGTACATTTCTTTCAGTATGGACACCTAGGTAGTTATCATATCAAATCCAAACCTCTTCGCTTTGCTTCACCCATTCTCATTCATCACTAAGCCAGCGTCCATCAGTCGGTGGGTTGGCCATCATGAATCTCGACAGACCATTATAGCTTTGAGTTTCAGAAATAATAAATACATACGGCCATAGATAGTGGAAAACTCGGGATCCCGTCCGCTCTCCCATAGATAAGCCACTAATCGCCTGACTAGTAGTTGGGTCGGTGACGACCAGCGAATCCCAGGTGCTGTATGTTTTTTTTTTCTATTCTCCTGTTTCCCCTGATTACCTGATTATTTATTCTTTGTGGCGTTCGTTTGGCACCCAGCTATTCTATGGGGGGGTTCGTATCCCGTGGAAGAAAGAGACAGTAGGCACTGCCGGGGCAGTTCCTGGTTTGATGGACGGACTTTGCGCTGGAAGTTGACGCTGACGACTTTGGGCGTTCTGGGCAAATTTATTTGAGAGAGTCAGGGTCAAATGCTGGCTAGGCGACGCACGTCCAAGGAAACATTATCGTTTGAGGGAGAGGATCGTGGTTGCTGCTGGAGTAATGACTGGTGATACAATACTTTCTCAGTGTCTCTTGAGTAGGTATACCTGAGTGTGCAGCATGGTCGTGAGTGCATGTTGAAGTTCTTCCTTGACGAAGCCTGATCTATATCTCTTGAGTAACGGCATGTCATCTGTTCGAGGAACTTGCTGTTCGTGACCCAGAACAGAAACGGAATCTGTTGGTTGTTTTGTTCGTTCGCTTCGACTATTTTGGGGCTTCGTATCGCCAAGGACGTCACAACCCTGGACGAAAGTCAAGGGGGACCTAGCGGCCAACTTTTCGTCTGTTGGTGTCTACAGCTCAAGTTGGTAATGATGAGTTGAGGTTGACAATAGAGTTTCGACAGTACGGACCGGAAGGCAGGATAAGTTTGTATGCTGGTTAGACCATATTGTGATGAGGATAGGGTGGCTAAGGAAAGACGTTGTTCGACTGCCGTAGAGTATTAAACAAGGTGGTCGCTGGTCGACAAAACAGGATGGTCTTTGGGGAAGAAAGTCCGAGAGCGCCCCACGAAGAAAGATGGCGGTGCCGATCAAATCTGATCCTCAACGTTTCGGATGGTTGATTTGTTATATGACTCCAAGTGCCGTTACACTTCATATTACCCGAGCGAAGGAACTAGCA